GTGATCACGCGTCGCCACAGCACGTTGGCGCCAGCGTCAACCGAATTCTCAACCGCAACCTCAACGATTACCAACGGTCGTGGCGCATCCGTACGCGAAATCGAACGGTTGTCCCACGTCGCGCAGCCCTCGTGCATGGCCACGCAAGCCACAAGACGTTGGCCGGGCACGACGTACAGTACCGGTACTGTGGGCCCCGTCCTGAAAGCAAACGACTGGGCGAGCGCTCAATTGGCCAAAAGGATTTGCAATGTCGCACCAATGGCATCGCGAGAAAGATCGGATTTCAGCCAATCGCATCCTCGCTATGCTTTCCATCGCCACGTCGTCTCGCCATTGTTGCTTTGCCCATGACCCGCCCAACGCTCAAACTGACCTACTTTGACTCGCCTGGCCGCGCCGAGCTGACACGCCTGGCGCTCTTCCTCCACGACATCCCGTTCGAGGACGAGCGGGTCAGCTACGCTGAATTTATGGCGCGCAAGCCGACGCTGCCGTTCCAGCAACTCCCGACGCTCACTGTCGACGGAGAAGTCTTTGCGCAGTCGCACGGCATGGCGCGGTATATTGGCCACCTTACCGGTCTCTACCCAACGTCCAACCCACTGGGTGCGTACCGCGTCGACGAGATCCTCGCCGCCTCCGACGACATTGTCAACACGCTCATTCCGTCGCTCTTCGAGCGCGACATGGACAAGAAGCTCGCGATGCGCAAGGAGCTTGTGGCCGCGACGCTGCCGACCTTGTACGCGTGCGTGGAGGCGCGGCTCGTCGCCGCCAATTCCCAGGGTCCGTTCCTCTTGGGCGAGACGCTCTCGCTGGCCGACATTGAACTCTTCGTCATGCGCATGAGCATGCGCTCGGGCCACATGGACGGCATTCCGACGACGATCTGCGACAACTACCCGCGCTGGAACGCGATCGCGGACGCCGTCGCGGCTCTTCCCAAGGTCCACGCGTGGTATGCCAGCCGCCAGTAGATGGTACATCCTTGTGCTCACGTCAATGCCATGTTGCGTTTGAATCGCGTTGGGTCGCTGCTTGGAGCTCTGGGCGGTGGATTTTCACGCCCGAGACCCGAGCCGCGTGCAACTTGCTTAATCTGGGCTTTAGTTTTATGTATCGTTGTACAACCATCGGATGTGCATCATTCACATCGAAAAGCTAGACGCCGCCGATACACGTTTACAAGCATCCTTACGTGTTTACCACATTTGGCACAATTTGCGCAGACAGTCGGCGTTCGCGAGACGCTTGTTGGACGTGAGCGCGTCGACAAAAGTCTGCAGCGCGGTGCGGCGGCGGTGCCACAGGTCCTCTTCGTCCAGCGTCGAGAGCTCGAGCGCCGGAATCGCAACCGGCTCGCCGTCGACTTCGTCAATGAGCGCTTGGTAGAGGCGCTCAAACTCTTGGTACGTGACCGTCACGTCCCACATGCTCGTGGGCGAGAGCACGTTCGCGTCATCCGCGGTGCGGCAGTCGACACGCATGACGTACACGGCGTCGTCGCAGCCGTCTTCGTGTTCGAACGCCTTGCCGATCCAGAGCCGCGCGCGGAACAAGCTCCGGTCGCGGCGCGGTCGCGTCGCACTCGGCTCGGTTGGCGCTGCCGACGGCAGCGGAATGAGCTCGGGGACGGTGAGCGGCGTCGGCTTGAAGACGTCGGTCTTCTCGTATACCGCTTTGTCTGTCGGAATCGCCATCGGGTAGTCTTCGAGGCGGCGGGAGAGGTACTCGGGCGGCACTGACATGGCCGCCATCGGAGACGATGGCAGTTGATGCAACTTGCGTGGCACCGTCGAGGCGCAGTCGCAGTGCGGAAAGTGCACGCAGCACGTCGGCGGAAGAATCTGCGGGCCGACGTACGTGTGGCACGCGCACGGCAGCACGATCGGCAGCATGTAGACGACCGGTACGTGCTGGCACGTCGCGCAAGGCATGTTGGCGTGCTTGGACGATGGCACCGCATCCTCCGGCCCGAGCTCAAACGTCGACTCGGTCGTGGTGTGGGCGCCCGTCGAGACGGAGGCGGCGACCGAGACCCGGCGGGCGCGCGTGGACGCGTCATCCGCGTTGTACGAGACCGAGGCAGCAACCGAGACGCGGCGGGTGCGAGTGTTCACTGGCTCGTCGGCGCTGTACGACACGGACGCAGAGATGGAGACGCCGCGCTTGCGGTCGACAAACAACTCGGTGGCCAGCGGCGGCGTGCTGGCCGTGAGGAGTGAGAGGAGGCTGAAGAAGCCGAGCGCGCATGCCATAAAGACCACGATCGACGACGGGTCGTAGAGCGTCGGCGACGGTAGCATGGTACGACTCAAGCCGCTCGTCCAAAATTGCTGCTGCGCAAGAGAGCGGTTGATGAATCAACTGGTGCCAAACAGATGGTGCACGGCTGGCACCCGCCAATCAAAACGACGTCGTTGGAAAACACGCCACTGGACGCTTTTAGGCGCGCGACGCCACCGCGCACAGCGTATGCACCGCGCTTGCATGAAGCTAGTCTGTTTAGAGAGTGCGAGTGCACTTTGTGAACGCAATGGCGCGCCGACCACGAGGCGTACTCTCGACGCCAGCGCCGACAAGTTGCGTGGAATCAGCCAATTGGAAAGGCCAGCAAATGTCGAGACACGAGTAGCCGAGGTCCAAAGGATATTTTTCGTGGCGTAGCGTCGGGGCACGCAACCTTTTTTCAACGAATGTCAGCTGTGGGCGTTGTCTCGTGCGCTGCGGCGATGTACGTCCTTTCTGCGAGCCTAAAGGAATGCTGTACATGTAAAAATTCATGCAGACATGGCACATTGCCACACATACGTGCTGTAGAAGGAGTGTATTGGAATGCCCATAAGCATTCGTGTCCTGTAAAGGCTGAAAAGGGATGCTCCCAGCGCATTTTCAAAGTAAACGTCGCCGCGCAGGCTCAGCTCTGAATCTGGTCATCGCCGTCCAGGCTCCGTTCTGGATCGGTGTATAATTTCCAAGTCAATCCAAGAACTCGAGTTCATCGGCGTGGGTGTCGTCGCGGCGCACGAGCTGAATGGAGCTCGCGATCAGTTCCAGGTGGACCTGCATTTCTTGGGCCGACTCGCTCGCAAGCTCGAGGACGAGCTCTTGTGTGTACGGGTGCACCTTCTCGTACTGGTTGCCATTCATCAAGTCGACGGTGAAGACCAAGTTGTGGTTGGGTTCGAGGCGCACGGTGCAGACGCCCGGTCGGTCGCCTTCGTCGCTGGAGACGAGGATGTATGGGTCCATCGTGAAGAGGACATTGTTCAAAGCCAGCGCACTCGATGATTGAAAGTGCAGACGCTCGCAGAGCGCGGTCACGAGGTGGTGCACACAGCGCTGCGACTCTTTTGTCACTCCTCGTCGGGCCGCGTGCAGCTGCCGTAGTTCTTCGTACGTCGTCGATGTCGGCGACGTCCTCCACGCGTCCAGAGACGTCGCGATGGCTGCATTGAGCGCCTCGAGCTCGACATCTTCGGGGGATCGCGGCAGAGCATTGCCAGGGTGTTGAATGAGACCGGGCACGGCCACTTGCATCTCATGACGGGCTTTTTTGATCGGACGCTTTCTTTGGTGAGAATACACCACGTGGGCAGCGAACATGCAAAGTGCATCTACCATCGTTCGGAGCTCAACATGGACGATTCTAGTCCAATATAATGCCCTACCGAGGTGGATGTCACAGGGGCATACACCGTGAGCTCCATATTTCGGTCGTCGCCAAAAGCAACGCTGTACCGAACACGCTGACCCTCGATCGCAGCTGCGCCTTGGCGCACCTGGTTTGTCATGCCCAAGAAGGCGCGTGGCCGGCGAGACCGGGTCGCACTCAGCGCGTACCGCTTGTCCCCCACGCGCAAGTCGACGTACGGTGGCGGCGTCGCTGCTTCCAGCTTGAGCGCTTCAATTCGAGTCGCAAAACCCAGCGCAGACTCGTGGAGGCGCGCTGTCTCATCTGCCGTGGCTGCTTGCATCTGTGTCAGCAACGCCGTGAGAGAAATCTGGACCCGCTTGAGCTCCACAAGTGTCTCGCTGCGATCCTTCTTGACGTCCGCGCGGCGTTCGCGCACGAGCTGTCGCGCCGCATGGCGCTGGTCCTTATCCAGGCCATCTACGTTGCCCAGTCCCGTGGCTTCGATCTCGTCCAGGGCGTCTTTTGCCGCCGCTTCTTTGGCTTCCAGCTCGGACCGACTGGCTTCCAATAGCCGAACGTCGCGCTCCAACGCAGCATACTGCACTTGGTGGGCATCTGTGATTGCGGTGCGCTAGCAAAACAGTAAAACATAATGAAGCGTAGACCACAGGAAGTGCCAACCTCGTCGTAGGCCGCTTGCTGCAGCGCTTGGATCGCAATTTGGACAGACTGGAGATAACTGTGGCGTGCGACGGATTCTGGCGTCTGTGGCACGTCGAGGCGGATGCCCTTGCTATAAAACCCGACGCGGCCAGCGACCGAGAGCGCCATTTCGCCGGTATTGTTGCGCACGAGGCAGAGCTAGAATATATGTTGACCATTCTATGCTACGACACTACTGAACGCGGGAGCGTACTTGGCGCACGACAGCACGGGCGATTTCGGTCTTGATCGCTGGTGTCCACGTGTGTGGAGCGATATAGTTGTTGGCGGCTTTTCCAGCGTACAAGAGCCCGAGGGGTAGAAGGAATCTAGGCGCACACCATGAACAGTTTATCCGACCGAACACACAGGTCATTTGTTTGTACTCGGTCGACGACGGCGGGTGGGTCGCGACGATGTGAAAGTTGCGTGCTTGGTGTGGATAATGGTGGACCGACACATTACAGAGAAAGGAGCTAATCTACATGAACCCATACACAACTCAAGTACAAGGACACCTACATAAAACATTCCTAATATTCAAAAATACCTTGTGGCTCGTACAGAGCACGCGGTAGCGGGCACGGCGGGGCATGGTCATAAATTTGAGGGCCGCGAGACGCCGCTCTTCTTCTTCGAGACGTCGTTGTTTCGCGCGCGCAAGACGGCGCAATTTGGACTACGAAAATCGGGTAAACATGATTAAACGCGTGCAAAGCGTCCTCCAAATTGAAAAAAACGTACCGCACTTGTCTTCATGAGCTTGTTGATGTGTAGAATGGGTCGGCCTTGGTCGGGATATTCGAAAAAGAGCATCGATGTGATCGCATGCAGGAGCTCATCCTTGCGCCCGGCGGTCAAGTACGCCCGGTGGTCTTCAAAGAGATCTTCCAGATCGTCCATTGAGATGGAAAGGAGGTGGGTAATCCCAAGCGCGGGGTCGTACACGTGCATCACCAAGGCCCTAATATGATAGATATTTCAATCTCCAAACTCAATCTGAATTGCACCGTTTGCTTTGCAGGCCAATGCCAAAGACGCGCCCATAGATGCCGGCGCCCCACGCCGAGACAATGACGTACGACGTGTCGATGAGAATACCTCGACGCGATAGCAATAGGAGCTCGGGCTACCGACACCCAGAGGGTATGAGAGAAACGAAGACATCTGGAGCTGTACGTACATGGAGCGCTGGCAGATGCCACTTGCCCGAGGTCGTCGCAGACCGCGTCATGCGCATTGGTCGGTGCGGCTCGTGGGCTTGGATTGTCGGCAGCTCGTCTTGCGACCACTGCTTGTCGCGGTCGCGAATGGGCTCGGGCCACCGCTCGGCCTACGAACGATTGCGTCAGCTCGATGATCGAATGATGTCCAACGCATGCAACTGGAAGCAAGTGCCGGCGATGGGCGCGGCCGTGGCATGGCATGAGTGGGATCTCGTCGTCGCCGTCGCACTTTCTCGTCAAGAGCAGAGTGAGCGGGTCTTTCAGCTTTCGCGCGTCGACTTCGTTGTACTGGAGGATCTCTTCCGTGCACAGCTCGGCGCTGCCATCTTCGTGCAGGAAGACGCGCTGCCGCTGCAAGACGCGCGCCTCCTACGCGAGTGCAAACTCGAAAATGCCGCGACGATGACATGGCAGCGCGTACGAGGCGCGGGAGGCGCCGAGGGCTCAGTGCAATGTGTTCGTTCGCGGCCGTCGCCACTGGCAGCGGCGCGGGCAGCGGGTGCAAGGCGACGGGGGGCTTCCGCTTCTTGGGCGACCGCACGTAGCCGCCGTGGTCGTGCAAGAGGAGGCGATAGAACTCGGGCGTGCTTTCTACACCATCGTTGCGGCGCTTGATTGTGGAAGAGAGAGTGGACGCACCCATGCTCTACAGGCCCATTACCCGAGCGAATGCATGTCTTGTAAAACCGAGGCCGAATGAAACGCCTCCGTCGTCCCAAAATCCTTACCGTATTGATCGACTTATTACCTCGTACACATCAACAAGCTCAAGGCAAGGTTTAACCTATTACCTTGTCGCTGCTATGCGTGAGGAGTCGAGGCAAATGACAATCTGGCCTACGCATCGGTTGATTCTCGGGTTGACTTGGGTCGTCCATCGCCTCCCAACGTCCATCACCTTCCAGAATCGAGTGTGCCCCATTTCAAACACAATACACTGTATTGAAGAAGCAACTTGCCTTACAGTGCTTTACATGCCAAGGTTGAGCGGCGCGCCATTCGGGAAGAGCCACTTGAGCACGATCGCGTCAAAGTCGGGGTGGTACACGCTCATGAGGAGCGAGCACGACAGCGTCGTGTAGCCCGAGACGTAGTGCCAGCGCTTGTGCCACGTCTCGTAGCGTGCGCCGCCAGGCATGCCGCAGTAGATCCACGTAAACGCGCAGCCCGCGCCGTGCAGCAGCTTGAGCCCCAGCACATGATGAAGTTCGTTTTCGATGGCATCGAGGACGACATACCTAGTACGCGGTCAATATGAGCCATCGTCACATCCATAAGGCGTACGCTGCAATGATGCCGAGCGTGCCCGAAATGATGGCGTCCAGCGGGAGGTACTTGGTTTCGCGCGATCGGTGAAACATGGTCGACGCGATCGAGGACCCGAGCTGCAGGAGGCCGCACGTATACTGCCCCACGGCGTACGAGACGACGGCGGCCGCAACGTACACGAGGTTGGTCAGCAGCAGCGGGTCCGTCCATGGCCGCGTGTTGTGGCGCAGCCGCTTGGCGGCCGGCGGGCAAAAGCAACCAGGACAGAGACACATGTGCGACCGATGCTGCCAGAGCGCAAGTGCGGCACAGCCACTTTGCATCCAAAGATAGCCAATCAGTCGCGGTGGGACACACATCCGGTTTGTATCCGGATGATCGAGGACGCCGGGAAAGCCACCTGACCCGCAATTCCGAGGGCCAGAAAGACCCTTGCACCCATGCCTTGCACCGACATTTTATAGCAGCACGATGGCATCGACGTTGTCTGTGATGATGTGAGGAGCCGCTTGTACCGTCCTTGCAGGAGAGCTATTAGAGTAAAGGCTCGGCCGAGTTACACTGCAGCCGAGACTGTGATGTGGCAGCTGGCGCATGCCTCTGTGCGGCAAGATGTGACTCGTCGTCGGGACATGCTAGGCATTTGGAAGCTAAATTTTCGTGCTCATAGTTAGGAGGAAGCAAAGCGAGAGAGGTGGTTTGTTGGTGTCTCGACGCTGCTGTGCTTGGGTGCTCCGCGAACGAACGAATGGGCAGAGAACGCGCGCATTCGATTGCAGCCACAGCTGCATGTAGAGAACCAATACAACGTCGACAGGCGAACGATCGGACGACGGGTGGTCGTCGCGATGTGGGCTCCAGAGCGTGCCACGTGATCTAGCCGGGTGACGCAAAATTATTATGCCATTTCACCTTGTCCGACGCGCGAGTGGATGCTATTTCATACTAGGACCTAATAGCTTAATCAGAGTGGCGGGGCGGGTTCGAGACGAGACGGCTCAATGCGCAAGGACTACGAGCCTACTGACGTCTCATCGAGTGTCTGGTCGGCAAACACGCAACGTCCAGGCTGCCACATCAACGCGACAAAATGCCAATATAAAAAATGCGGATCGCGCTCCAGCCTCCGCATCCCTAAATCAAGTTCCTCAACCAAGTACACACAACGAAGAAAGTCCGACAATTTTATTTAGCATAGTTTTGATCTATTGTACTAGACGACCCACTTCAACAACAAAATGCCAATATGACTCCGCCGTTTGGTGCAAGTTCTCGGCATGTTATTGCTCGAGGAATGGATTGGCTTGCTACTTGTTAGCCCAACGCCACGGAGAGTTTGATATTCCAAATAGGTGACTTGATATTCCAAATAGGTAACTTGGGACGGCTCAAAAGTCCTACATCCAGCATTTCATGTGTATCTCGGATCCAAGCAAACGTACGTCCAGCGACAAGGACGCGGAGCTGTGCTTCCATGGCTTTCGTAGCCCGTCGTCCTCGTTGTATGGGACCTCTTTTCCTCCAATGCCGCCGTCATCTTCGTCATCGATGGGCGAGTCTTGAATCGTGAGCTCATGGATCGTGAGCGCTTGGTCTTCAATGACACGCAGGAGCTTCTGCTTCTCTCGCTCCAGCGCCTGTAGCTGGTGGTTGGTTTGCTTGAGCAACGTAGCATACGACTCTCCGCCCTCGCCGACTTGAAGCCGCCGCAGCTCGTCTGCGAGCTCGCCGCAGCGCGCGTTGTGGCACACACCCTACTCGATCACTACAGATACCACGTCTCGACGCGATATCAGATAGTATACGGTAGGAAACCCCGTCGAGGGCTCTGCCATCCGCGTCTCTAATAGGTCTTCGATGGTCTTGGCTTGTTCCTATGACCTATCAACATACTTGTCCTTGTGGTTAGATCGCACCTCGATGAGGCGGTTGGCGCTGAGCTGCGCCGTCGAGAGCTGCTTGACTGTGCTTTCGTGGTTGCGCTTTTGAACCTCGAGCGCGAGAAGGTCCTGCGAGTGTTGCTCTTGAAGCTGCGTCACTTGGCGCAAGAACTCCATTTTTTCCATTTCCAGTGTCGAAATGTCTTGAGTGTGCTCGGCCGTCTACGAGAAATGAACAATTCAAACGTATGTTTATCAATTGCGAGATCTACCTTGGTTTGCCGCGACCGCTCGAGCTCTTCCATGAGCTCGCGTTGGTTTTGAATCTACAGCCAGTCCAATTCGATTGCGTCAGCTCGACGACAAGAGTGAACGCACCGTCGCATGGAGGCTCTTGATGCTGGACGCCATGTCATCAATCTGCTTTTGCGCATCATAGTACTTGCACTCTTGCGCATGCAACTTTTCCTCCAAATTCGAGTTGAGTTTCTACGCCAATCCCATGTGACGTCGAGTCGGAGACGTGTGCATCGAACCTGGGCGTGCTCCATGATTTGAATGAGCTTTCGCTCCTTTTCACGGTGCTGCTCGAGCGCATGCTGAAGCTCGCGCACCTCGAGGTGCAGCACTTCTTTCTACGCCAACCACCTCGCCTTGCATGCAGTTCACGATATCGATACAAGTACCTCTTTGGTTGCAGTGTGCAATTGCGCTTGGGTGGTCTCACAGAGCTGCTGAACGTTGTTGAGCGCACTCTGCTTTTCTTGCTCGAGCTGCATGCGCGTCTCGTGGAGCGCATTGGCTTCGCGCTGACGCGCCTCCTCCAACTGGGACGTCTTCGCGCTCTCAAGCAGCGTCAATCGCCGATGGGCCTCCTGCTCGACTTGGTGCTTTTCATGCTCAAACGCCATTTGGAGTTGTTGGACTTTTTTCTGGTGGTCGATCTCGAGCAGCTTCCTTTGTTTGGACGCTTCGTCCTGCTGGACGACCGAGAGCCGACGCGACTCGCGCTTGAACGTTATGAGCTCCTCCGTGAGCATCGTTGCCTGCGCCTTCTCCTCGTCGTGCTTGTGCGCTTGCCTATATATGCATCGCCAATGAGCCAGCACGAGTTGAGGCACACGACGGCACCGTTCGTATTTTTGGTGCAGCGCATAGAGTTGCTGCTGCAGACGTCGGTTCTCGTCAAGCGTCAGCGACCGACTGCGAAGGTACAAGACGCTGTCTTCCTGCGCCATCAAGAGGCGCTCGCCGATCGACGAGTCGCGTTCCACTTGGATCCGCGTGTCCTCGACGACGCGGCATATCTCGGCCTTGTACTTGTCGATGGCGAGCTTTTGGATCTGGAGCTCTTGGGCTGCGGACGCTGCGTCGTGCTTTGCGTGGCGCAGTTCGGCTTGCATTTGCTCGGTGTGGAGTCGGTGGGCTTTCTCCCGGACGCGGGCTTCCCGTAGCTCCCGCTCGAGGCACTCGACGTGCGTCTTGAGCTCGGCGCACTGGTCGGTAAGCGCCTGTTTGGCGTCGAGCCACTCCTTGCGCTCCGTGTTAAGTTTGCAGCGCAGACGCTCGGCGTTGGCCTTGAGCGACTTGCGCTCTTCGTGCGAGTTCATGACCGAGACGTTGGCTTCCTTCTTGGCCATGTCGACACCATCGTCAAACTTCTTCTTTAGTCGCTTCATCTACACACGGCATATGGATGTCGTCGATATGTGCAATGCACAACGCACCGTCTCGGTGAGCTTGACGATTTTGAGCTGGTCCTCTTCGTGCTGGTCGTACGACGTCTCAAGGAGCGTCGTGAGGTCCTTGCACTTTTGCTGATAGAGCTCGCTCTCCTTTTCGACAAGGCTTTTCTGGCTCAGTAGCTCGGCCACTTCCTTCTTGAGCGCGACCGTCTGTTGGCTCGTGATCGCCGACGCCTTCTTGTGCTGCTCGTCCTTCCGCACGAGCTGCATCCGCATCGTCTCGAGGTCCTTGACGAGCGCCTGTCGCTCCTAGAAGACGCCAAGAATAAGTATGAACGCGGCAGAGCGACGTGTCCGAACCTGTTCAAAGACGACCGTGTAATCGCGCAACGACGCCTGCTTCATGCTGCAAGAGCGAAGGGCCGTGAAAACTGGACAGGCTGCATCCTGCTAAGCCGTGCGACGGTTTCGTTCGAGACCAACCCCGACCTCGATCGATCGAACGTTAAAAAGTTTGACGGGACCAACCTTGGCGACGAAAAAGCCGGGCAAACAAGGCAGTGCACGGTAGGATCTACTGGATCCACCGGGCAGAGTAAATGCTATCTCCCTAGGTACTATACAATCATACGGTGTAGTGGTCATAAAACAACTGTGGAAAAAGTGTGGTGCTCAGACGTGTGGATATGTTGATGCGGGCACCCATTACGAAATAACGCCCCAGAACGAGAAATCCCGTCGTACCTCCAGCGGCAAGGTGCATGTTGAGGCCGGAAGCCTTCCGAGTCCAACGCTGGCCCAACGGGCTTGTATGATGGATACATACCGGTACCTTGCATCCCACGTGCAGCCTTTGTCCGTTCTAGAGGCTCGATGGGGTTTAAACAACGACCCGATCGCGCGTTTTTAGCGTTGTCGAGCCTTTTGGAATGCTTTCGAGCAGACAGGGCGCATAGCGGTCTACGTAATCGGCGTGACATCCAGCTCGAGAAGCGCCAACCAAATACAAAGATGGAGATCTTGACAGATGTATCAACTAAACAAGAACGTCAAGGGCGGTGGTCCATCGCTGGGGTGGAAAGGTACCGCACGCCGATAACCCACTTGTTGGCACCGCGTGGTCGTCCTTGGCATACCACCTGGTGCGAGTCCTTCAAGAAAGGCGCGCCGTTCAATCCCTGCAAAGCGTTCGAATCCAAAAATATATGTATCGTCTAGCACATAGCAGCAAATGGCCTCTATACACGCTTGCGACTTGTAATGCGCCTCATTCAGCTTGCATGAATTGATGCACTGCGATCTCGCGTGTCGTGTGGTTACCATCTGTGCAAGCAAACGTTTTGGACGAGCTTTTCGAATGCGATGAAAGGCCTGTCAAACATTATGCCGAGTCATCAGTGGCACCACCAAACGTGAGCAATTCCAGGCGGTACGCCACCATCTGCGTCCAGATATGGTTGTCGCTGCGACGCCATTCACACAAATGCCCCCGAAACCACGCGTGTCCAAGCCTCGCTTTCGCAGCGCCTACCAGCGCAAGATGCAGCGCATGTACCGCAAGGCGACGGCAGATGAACGCCTTGCCCTTCGCGCCCTCGTCGAGTCGCTTCAAGCCCAAGCGACCGCCCGACTGCATCGAAGCGTCGACAACACCTCGATGCTGGCGTGGCGAGAGATTGCTGCCGCGCTGCACGACGAGATGGTCGCCGCCCAAAGCGAGAACCGCAAGCTTCGCGCGCAAGTCCGCCTGTGCCGCGACCTCATCGATAGCCTTCGTCAGCACTTTGTGTGCCGATGACACCACTCCGTCATCGCTACGATAACTGCTTTATTTACTCGTCTCGCCGTGCTCTCTGGCACCTTGCTTACTTCATCACGATAAACGCCATGAACCGAGGCTTCGATCCCTATTGTACGACTACTACGTGGTTCATGTGTTCTGGCTTCACATCTCTTGGGCAGCGACATCTTTCGTTGGTTGTGCTGGTCGTGGGCTGACGTCGACGACACAACTAGTGTGGTTGTTGGCGTGCGCGGTGCCAGAGATACGTCCATACATGAGCTGCCGACTCCCTACGAATCGTTTCAAAGACTGGCACTGGCGCTGGCATATTACCTCGCCGCATAGATGGAGAAGACCGAGTCCGTCACGGCGTCCCAGTGGACGCTCCATCCCTCGGCACGCGCTTTCCCAACGGCAGCGACCAGCGACCTATATATATACGTGTTCGTTCCATGGGCAAAGCATGCCGCACGTGATACCGGAGCTTGACGGCGACCGTCGCAGCGGCACTTGCCGCGGCCACAGCCCGCGCTGCCGTAGCACCGCACTCGAGACAGTACGCAGCAGCCTTGATGTTGGTCCAGACGCGAAGCAGTGGCGATCGCAAAAGGATCCAGTCGAGGCTGTCGCAGTCGGCGCCGCCTTGGCGCCATAGCGTGAAGAGCTCGACGAGGCACGGCCACTGTGCCCATGCAAACGGCACCAACGCGATGGGCACGGTGCCTTGCAGCAACAAGAGGGCCGTCAGAAGGACACTCGAGCCGTCACGACAGATTGTGACTAGAAAACAGTGGAATGAGACGTGACATATATGCTACGAAGGGCGCGCACGGGCGACGGCAACGGCTTTAGGCGGCTGCAGGGCCTGCAGAAGATAGTGGATGTACACGGCCAACGCGGCCGTGTTGACCTCGGTAGCGATCTCTCGAAGCTGCGGGTGGAAATATCGCAGGGCTGCGTCATGCGACGCAGCGACGGACGCAATGAGATCGGTATACGTAAACGTCGTCGGCTGCTGCCAATAGTCAAGCGCCCATTGCAGAAAGTGCAGCGTCTGCATCGCATTGAGATCGATCGCCGACACGTCAATGGCGGCGAAAGCGGCTTGTGCTGCGGACCGAAGGTCGGCGGTCGACACGTGCCCAAGGCAGTACCCGGCCGTGTCGAATGCCAGCGGCGCCAGAAACCGAGCCACGTCGTGCCAGTTTTGGTGCCACACCACATAGTAGAGGAAGATCGAGCCGTGGAGAAGACACATGCGGGCCCGCGGCGACGCAGTCCACGTGCAAGCCATCGCGATGAAGCACGAGACAGGCCATGCCGCGTGCACTAAGACAAAGAGCTTGTATTGCCCGAGAAGCCGCAGAAGCAGCGGCAGCGCATAGGCGAGCGACGGAAGCCGCGCCCAGACTCGCCAGTGGAGGCGCACCTTGTAGTGGACCCGAAGCACGCAATAGCCAAGGCACGTACCAAGAAGCGCAACGCGCCAGTTGTGGAGAAGCCACGATGCGATACCGAGACACAGAAGCGGTAGCCCAAGCTGAAGCGGCGTCGACTGTCGCAGCAGTTGCTGACCAAAGCAGCGCAGAAATTGCCAGCCCAGCTCGTGAGCTATCGTGTTACCGGGCGCCAAAGGGGCAGGCCGCGTGGGAGGGGACGGCGTTGCGGCGGGAGGTCGAGGACTGTCTGTCGCGTCGGCAGCGCCCAGTCCGTCAAGTACGCCAATACGTGCTTGCTTGAGCGCATCATGGGTAGCACGGTCATCAAGCCCGAGTGCTATCGCCTTCTTGAAGCTCTGGACTGCGGATGAGTACTGCTGCCGGGCCAGTTGCGTGTGACCGAGCGTGGCATGGGCCATGCCTGAGGTCGGCGCCAGTCGCGCACTCTCCTCGGCATGCGCGAGGGCGCGATCGCCTGAGAGGTCATGAAGAGCAGAGCACTCTGGAAGCGGTCCTGCCCGGGCGCTGGGACTCGGGGTGGCGTCCGTCATGTCCGCCATGGATCGGGGTTTGATCGCTCTTGCATCCGGTAAATTCCAGTGCGTATCCGGATATCGGGCGAAGGACATGTTCGATGGGATTTGTATGCCGACGCTAGCAAGTTGAACCGGTATTTTGAATCATGATACTATATTGCGGTTGCTGCAACGTGATGGGAAATTTGTAGTATAAGTAGAGAATGGTTCATTGCCCGAATACCAAGAGCTGGCATGATCTGTCGCCATCAAAAGGGACCGGCCACGCTGGGTTGGTCGCCGGGCTTTTGAGCTTGATCAAATGTCAACGGATCTCGACTCGATGGCCGGCTAAGTTGCGTCTCACTACCGGTACCGGTAGCGAGTTGCCTTCATCTGCAGGTGTCATCAAGCTGGCAACCATTTTCTTGCACCGTGGGGAAAGATGCACCGTCGACGACCAAGTTCATCGACAATTCGGTGCCGACGAGCGAGTACCTCGTATGACGTGCGGGGTTGTTTCTTGTGAGCTGGAGCGAGGAGATAGGAAATATAGTGCGATCAATCGTTCATTTGTACGAGCCCACCCCGCAAGGAACCTGATATTTCGCGCGTATGGCTCGAGCTCGTGCAACGCTGTTGTCGTCGACCGATGCACCAACTATAGTTCTGTATTAGTATGCGCGTTGCGACTAGAGTAGGTCCGAGCTCGGAGCGTCAGCTTGCGGTCTCCATCGGAGCAGCTGCGACGCAGCTTCAAGCTTTTGCTTTGGCATTGTAGAGTGGGATTCATCGCAAGAAACCAGGTTTGCCGTTCAGCGACGAAACGGCAACTTGGAAGTACATGTAAAAGGTGTGGCACTAGAGAAACCTTTTGTATCGAGCACGAACCGATTCAGGCTAACGTATACAGTACTAGTACTAGCGAGGAATGCTTGTATTTGTGTCCTTTCTTGTGCACACAGTACCAGTACAGCTTACAGTCGTGTGCGCGCCGACGTGATGGTGCGTACAAACGAGCGGACCGTCCATGCTCCCAGTGGGTACTAGTAGGACAGCAATTGCTTTGCCCGATGCACCGGTATGATGAGCATGGTACGAGCTCTGATCCTCTGATCAGCGCGGACAATCTCTACAAACGAACTTTGCAAATCATGTCACGCAGGCACGAGGGGTCAAATGCATTTGTGTCGCTTGGTGAGTGATATCCGTACCGTGCATTGCACAGCAAAGGCGCCAGACATGGGTTTGAAGATGGAGCTACAAAAGAGGTGTGTGCTAACGTTGAGAGCAAACGAGTGGCGCCGACGCTTTGCAACTGCCTCCTGTAGAGGGAAGGGTTGGTTGTCAGCTCCCAAACAAATTGATACTGCAAGTGGTATCCGCACGCTGGTGAGGAGGTGGCGCGGAAGCTGCCGAGCGATGGAATCATTTCTACCTGGTTGCTAGATGGGCGCGGACCCATATTGTAAACATTGAGAATTACGATGGTGTTGGTTTGTCTTTTCAGCGTTCCAAATGCGATGTACGAGGGTGGTGCCGTGCAACTGAATGTCTTGCGATGGGGCACTGCTCAAGCTGCGCCACTTCGCAGACTGTAGCCACCGTCGGGACCAACAGGGTTTGTACGAACGATGCGACGCATGGAGGTGTAGGAATAACGTGGTGCGGGTGCAAGCATTTTGGTGCAAGGTCAAGCAATCCATACACAGTAGAAGAAGGGGATAGACACGCGAACGACCCCCAGCAACCTTCTCAGAGGTTAGCGTCGTCGGCAAGGTCAAGAATAGTTGCATTCGGGGCATCATCACCCTATTGCGCGCAGTGCCAAACTCGGTGGAGTCGAAAAAAGCGCGCTGGGGCTGGGGGCTTGAGATCGGACTGGACGTTCAGCGAGTGGCTGCTTGCACTGCATGCCTGGTTTCAGAGCCCCGTCGTAGCTGCCGCGAACAAACGAACGCACACGCGCAACTTGAATCTTGGTTCGTCGCACCCATCGCAGCATGCCTGGTCTCTTGAGATGAGTATCGCGGGTGTTGTGAATTGTGGTACAGGTCTGGTTATCCTTGATCTCGTATAGAAAACAAAGTAAACCCCGATCGCCGCGACGCCTTCATCTTCTTTCACACGCGTTTCGAGGTGCTTGTGCAATCAGAGGCATGTCCCATGCAGGCGGCAAATTGCCCTTCAAACACGTTGGAGACGTCGTCTCATGTCGCGAAGATGTCTCGGTTAATTAGGTTAAAATAAGGTTAAACACGCAGAATACATACTAGCAGCCTCTACACCAGGAACGGCGCCGATCGGTCGACAACATCTCGCCGGCAGTAGCCGAGGCTGCTCAAGATGGACGGGTGCACTGCCTGTCCCGCGAGAACGCCCGACTCGAGCTTTTGTGCGATCCGGATCGGGTTGCACCGGAGCTGCTCGACCAAGTACGTGCCGAGCGTCATGTCGTGCGGCAGGTACAAGTGACCGCGTTGAAAGCTGTCGATGAGCTTCCAAGCAAACACCTCTTCATCGTACGACCAGTCGGAGGACGGCGACGTCGGCGCGTTGAGGTGACCGCCGTTCGCGGCGCGGAGCTGGTTTAAAAACTCAAACTCAAGGCGCTGCATGTTTTGCGTCTTGGCGAGTGTTTGACGCGTGTCGGTGACGCTCGGCGCGTAGCGTTGGTGGCCGAGCTTTTTTGGGATTGGCACCGAGGCGACCTTGAGCTGCTTGGTGGAGCGCGCGAGCTTCTTGGAGACGCGCATCGGCGAGCACTGGAGCTTGTACGCAAGGAAGCAGCGGAGCGACGTGCCGCGCACGAGGTCTGGAACGCACCCGAGGAGGAAGCACTCGATGAGCGCGAGCGCAAATTGCTCCTCTTCGTACATCCAGCGTCCGGTGCGGGACGACGGGGCGTGGTCGTCGTCCACGGACGAGACGCTGGATGGCGTCGACGGCGTGCGGTCGGTATCAACGATGTCGTCGTCGGGGACGGGCGAGAGAAGGCGGGCAATGTCCATGGCGCGGTGAAAGAAAGAATGAGCGATTGATGCACAACTACTACAACTCCGTCAATGATCTGGGTACCCCGCGACACGCGCGTTAGGGTCAAAACACGCTTTCGTGTCGCAGTCTGGATGCCGCCGAAAGGAGATTCCCATCGAGCTCGGTTTTTTTTGCCTTTATGCAAGAGCATACGAACCAGCTGTGTTGAAGTGTCATCGCGTTTGTATGCGAAAGGCACGGCGGCGGCGCCATGTGCACGACCACCCATTTGACTTGCATTCAAGGTGAGGCGCGACCATAGCACAATGATACGCTCCGAATCCTTGGGCAACATAGGGCGGTGATCACTTGCAGCGACAGCACGGCGCATGATTCCGAGGGCATATTCTCACACAAACGATGCTTTTGTTGCTCTGCATCTTGCGCTTCTTCTGCGCTCTTCCACCAAGATGGGCACGCGATGGCCGATAAACTGTACACTGGACGAGTAGCTTGGCCTTTCTGTGCGATCGTGTCGGATTTGGGTGCTCATGGCTGCGGCGTCGAGGCCGCGCGCCCAGCACCAATCGGTGCGGTGCTGCGTACTAGGGTGTGGGGTGTACCCACCCCCGCGCACCTAATGCCGCCCTAGACGTCAATTGTGGTGGAAGGCAAAAGAAGGAGGAAAAGCTTTGGTGTCGCATGAGACGCCTCGCTTGGTTGCCTCCGTGTTGCTCTTCGCGGCGAAAGAAGGGGCATCAGCGAGAGTCGGGAGCCAAGCACGGTGATAGGGGGCTTCCGAACAAGGATGCAGCGCACTGTTGTCAGGTAGCGGTGATTGCATCATCGCTGTCGACTAATTGGTGCCACGTGGTACTTACAACTTGTACTTGACAAGGAAACGTCGCAGTGACCTGCGGTATAGTCCTGATGATGTCACGGAACGTCCGGAGTGCTAGGAGTCATCACTGCTCGCGGTGCATCTTGGTCCGTCGCGTGTTATCATGAACGAACGTGCTGTCGCACCCGACGACACATCACGGGCGTGCGCGACGTCGGTGATTTCTGTGACCGTCTACTACACTTACGCCACCTAATATATGTATCTTGTTCAAATGCATCGTCCTACTGGAAACCTGTGTGGAGTCGTGGCGAGCGCTTGCTGTTGCATTATGCTTGATGCAGCGATTGAAGCTTGCAACCATACTGTACGACCGAACGACTCTTGTCGGACTGCAAGTGTCTTCATCCGCGCAACAAGGATTTGATCCTTGACTGAATTCTCGCTCGTTTCTCGTGCACCACGCGCTCGGGGAGAGCGTTCCAAGAAACAACGGGACACGAAAATCACGCGACGCGGTACCAATCGGCAATCTGCGCTAGCCAACGTGGACACTTGTCGCTGGCCTTGTGAGGCATCTCGCTGTGCACTAGGATGTGCAGATCACGAAACAAGATGCTGCTGACGCTACATGTTGTGCATCTTTTTTGTTAAAACGAGTTATATGCTCGTGACGGGTGGCCAGTGCGTCACGCGAGGAGCGTTAGTGGTCGTGACTTAAGGTTGTGCGAGGGACAAGGTAGAGCGCTCACGAAGGGTCGTCGCTAAAAGCGTCAAGCGATGGCACCACAGCGCGGCGAGCCAAGTGGTACGTACATCTTTTATGTATGCTCGTCGCACGATTATTGGATTTGAAGAACTGTTCCAACTTGATCGGACGGAATCAAGTCACTGGAATCAAGTACGCACGCACTGTGGTACATGTCCATCTCTATTAACAGTCGTGCGCACCGACAGTCACACGTTCTATGCCATGAAGGCGCATTGGGCATCGCATAGCACTCGCGACTGTTCGGCCACCGAGATCAACCCACCCCCATAGCGACGCGAAGAGACGACGCACCCCACTTCAGGCTGTTCGGTCATGCTGTTCCTCTTTCAATACTGAGTAACTTGGTGCAATAAACACTCGAGTCATTCCCGAATTTGTAGTATCAGTCACTATTGTAGCTAACGTTAGCCCGTATTAATCGCTCGGTCTCTCGCGGAAAACCCCTCCCACTTCATGGAACCAGCCCTTCCAGACATTACCGACATCCGAAAGGTCTGCAGCCTAGTGAATTCTCCCGACCTGAGTCATATCTTCTTTAAATTGCAAAAAGGCTCGTGTATTCGTGCGATCTCGTGTTCCCGTTTCTCGCACCGCTTTTATAACTGGTGTGTTGTCAGAGCTACAAGACCAATACGGTACTGCCTGGCATCGCCTTCTTACGTGGTCTTTTGTCGGATCGTATAGATTTGTGTTCGTTGCCGTGTCCAAATTTCTTCGTTCTTTTGTTGTTCTCATCATCTAGCTCGCTCGGCCTTTTGCGAAATACCTTTTTCTCTGCCTGAAAATGACCCTAAAAATTGACGCCGCCATCAAATACATCGCTTTTGCTGCAAATTGTCCGAAAACCATTGTTCAGCGCGAAGCCAGCGCCGCTGCAGTTTCAGTATCGCGTAGATCTTGTATTGCTCAGTGTTCAAAAATTGTGGGTACCGGGGTCAAGGGTCAATGGAGTTTATAGACCCTTGCCGGATATCATATTGTTGGTCCTGGACACCTCGACGCTGTGGATTCCTTTGTCGTGTCAACGCGGTGTAAAAAAACGTAGGCTTGCAATATTAACTCTCCTTGATGAACGTGTCTGCTTGCGGGCAGCAAAAAGACAAGTTGGAAGAGGTGCGAGGAACCCCGCGCCAGCAGCAACCCCACGCCAGCTGAGGTCCGCAAGCTGAAGGCCTCAAGATCTAAGGCGATCTCGTCTTTTCCAAGCAAGGCTTTGTTGTCGTGGTGACGGCCATGTCAGTCATCCCACCCACTCTCACGTGGCAGGGCCACACGTCGTCTCAAGACGGCTTTCTTATTGGTGAAAATACTTCAGAAACCCGAACTCCACCAATCCAAGTGGCACATATGGCAGCATTATCACGGATGATTGGCTTGCGGCTAGTATTTGGACCAATCAAAGCAAATGCTGCTGACGCGTCATGGTGTCTGCCAGATCTTCAACGATCCATGGCGGAAAGCTGGCGTGGGGTTGCTGCTGGCGCAGGGTTCCTGGCTGCTGTACCAAGCAACCGATGCTGCAGCTTTGACGGCTCCATGCACCCATGTACCGTGCGATACACTTGTATATCTCGTCCAAACGACTTGAGCGCCCTTCCGACCGCGCGATCCATTGCGATCTCGCGACAATTAACTGCCTGCTGCATGGCCAATTTTATGCGCACCAGCGCCGTCTGGTATGCCTCGTTTCACATCTCCGTGCATACGCACGTCAAGAGAGAAGCAGAGCAACACTAGCTTCCAAGCCGTCGGCGCTCGATTCGGCGTGGCACACTCGCGGCATACAAATTTACACCACGCAATATGGCTTTATAGAATCCCTACTTTGCGTGTGGCCCGCACGGCGCTGCACCATGCGCGGCGACTACCACGACCTCTAACATGCGAGTAGCGCAACAATATGGCGCATGTTGATGATCTCGTTTTTGAAAAAGTCGAAAAGGAGCTGCCTCTCGTCAGCCGCGTGAGAAAGTCCTCGATGCTTCGATGTCTGATCACGCGGTAGTCTAGCTAGTCCTCATCGCATATGGTTCCTAGCCTTGTTGTGGATGCGTCGACGGCCATGACGTCAAGGCGCGACGCCACGCAGTCGTTGATGGGTGCGAGAGCGATTGGCTTCAAACAAGATTGCGAAAACTTTTGGTCTCGGTGATCCGCCATGGAGCCGTCGGGAGGCGTTTCGTGGCACGTCTACCGCCACTCGAAATATAGTTCTTTCCATAAAAAAGCTTGCCAAGAGCAGGAAAAAGGAGCCGCGGCAGTGCTTGGGTCCAGTGCCGACGAGACTTGCGCGCGATATTGCAACCTTGTTCCCAACTCTGGCCCCCGCCTAGTAACTATCACTCGACGCGCAGCCAACGATTGGTCCGGCATGCAACGTTAGCGGCGTGAACCGGCCAAGGGGCCAGTGATTCGAAGCGGAGAAAGATGCGGGTGCAACCGGACAGCCGACCGGCAGCCGTTGGACGCCCAGTCAAGTGGTCGCCGCCTCTTCACCCGAGATGTCTGGTGGTCAAGTGCGTGTCCGATAAAGTGCGATTTCGGGTCTATTTCAAGCGGTGTCGGTCGCCATCACGACGACATGGATGCCCGAAGGCGTGATTGCTGGGGACCGCGCTCCAGTCGTCGTGTCCATTATTGCTCGTGCAGCGTATAAGTCGACTGCATACCGGCCGTGCACGTTGCAACGCACGCGGATCACGTTGGCCGATGACAGCTGGGGCGTGGAACTGGCCATCGCATCTGTTCAAATCGGCGCATCTCCATCTGGATGTGGCACTGTATGCCACCTTTTCCATCCAAAGTGCCACTTTCCGTCCATCCATGCCGCGAGTATTGCATTTGGTAGCGGCACATGCCACGCAGAATGTGTCGTTGGCGTTAACGACGCACTCTCTCAAGTTCGACGCCGCATCTAGGTGGACAGGATGGGCCGCAATTAAAAAAGCCATTTCTCACGCCCCACGATACAATTGCACTATTAAAATAAAAACCGAGCGTGCTCGCGCTGCAAGGTGCCAATACATTATTGTCATTGAACTTGGGCGATGACGAAGCGCAAGGCCGAGTCGAGCCTGCGCCGCTTCTCGACCTTTGTCGAGGTCGCGACCATCTACCACGCGCTGCACCGGACGACGTCGAGCTTCACGAACCTGCCCAAGACGTACGTGGTGCCGGACGCCGAGCCGTGGCCGGCGCATCTCCGCCGGCTTCGCCTCAACACGTGCCAAGTGCGGTCCCACTACAAGACCAACACGCTGCATCCCGAGACGCTCGCGGCCTTGCGCGCCATCAACTTTGTATTTGACTTGGGCCAGCTCAAGTGGGAGCTCAAAGTGCTCGCGCTACGCACGTACAAGGCGCTCCACGGCGACCTCTGCGTGCCGCAGGACTTTCGCGTGCCCAACAACGACGCCAACTGGCCGCGCGACCTCTGGGACATGCGCCTCGGCCTCGTCGTGCGCACGATCCGCCAGCGCATCGCGCCGAACTCGGACCGCCACGCGCAGCTCTCGCAGCTCGGCTTTGTCTGGAACGCGTTCGACATGACGTGGGAGCTCAAGCTCACGGCGATGGCTGCGTACCAGCAAAAGCACGGCAACCTCCTCGTCACGTACGCGTTCAAGGTGCCCCGCGACGACCCGAGCTGGCCGCCCGAGACGTGGGGCTTAACGCTCGGCCACGCCGTGCACAACATCCGCCAGGGCTTTGACTCGATCTCGCCCGAGCGCAAGGCACAGCTCAACCGTCTCGGCTTCGTTTGGGACTGCCTCGACTTGAGCTGGGAGACGCGGCTCACGGCCCTCTACACGTACCGGTCGCTCTACGGCCACTTGCGCGTCCCGTTTGGGTTTGTTGTTCCCAACCATGACGTGGCGTGGCCACGCGAGGTCTGGAAAATGAAGCTCGGGCATGCGGTGCACAACATGCGCCAGAAGCTCGAGGACATGCCCGAGGAGCGCCGGCGCGTTCTGGACGACATGGGCTTTGTCTGGAACGTGTCGGCGCAGAGCTGGGACATGCAGCTCTTGGCGCTGCGCATTTACCTCGACACGTACGGCCATACCAACTTGACGCGCGACTTTCGCATTCCGATCCACGACGACCGCTGGCCACCGGCGCTCTGGAACATGCAGCTCGGCGAGTTTGTCGAGTCGCTGCATACGAACGAGATGACGCTGACGCCCGAGCAGCGCGGCCAGCTCACCGACATTGGCTTTGTGTGGCGCCAGGCGCTGCCGCGCCACCGGATCCATATTTGCGACGGCTTTTCCGTGCCCCGGACGACGACGATGCCGGTGCAGCCAGAAACAACGACGACGGCAAGAACACGCCTCGCGTAGAGCGCGATGCCACATTTATAAGGAGGGGTGCAGCGCATTTGGGCGAGACCAATATACACTGTACGCGATGGTGTTGCTCTCGACATAGTCTGCATTGATATGTTATTAATACGTATACTACGTCTACCTACGCACACGGCCCATGTACATACCTCATTTGCCTCCAGGTCACAAGCCCACCGCACCCGAGAGCACCCATGATCACGGTACCCGTAGTACCACGCTTTCCCAACGCAGTCGTCCTTTCGTCGAAAAACAATAGTACTTGAACAATCAATCGTTCTGGGACTGTTCTTGTAAGTGCACGGGCAAGACCAGAGACCGCCGCGCTCCGGCCGCAAAAGCGGGGTAGGGTAGGTTTAGGGTTCGCCTCCGCCAACTCATGCTGACTTGTCGGAAGTGGGATCACGTGTGCGCAGCGGCCGCGCACGTCGTCGCCAACGTGATACAGAGCGTGTCGCCAAGGCTGCATTGACATCTCTGCTGCCTCGGGCGTCGAGATTGGCAGTACCCGACCTTGTCGCGTGTTGGATGACGTGTCCTGGGTATCCTTCTAATGTATCCTGGGCATCCTTTTACATCCAGCACATTGGGGAATGTTGGAAAAGTGTCTTTTAGCCAGCGCAAAGCAGGTTGGCTGCCCTGTCCATGGATAGCGAAACCACAGTCGAGATTGTAGAGGATCGCATTTGGGTATCGCGAGCCGCGTACCGATGGTGTGTCGGGTCAATCCATCCGGTCGGACGCTTGACACAGCAAAGACCATTGCGACGCTGTGCCGTTGGATCGTCGAAGATATGTTGCGAGTGCGATTGGTTGTGTCGGCGCCATGAGCACAAAGGGTACCAGAATATTGTCGACATGCACACCGCTGCTGCTGACGACACGCGAGCCACGTTCTAGTCGAGGTACCTCAAGAGTTACCGAAAGAGCTGTGTTCTTTCAAGCGCCCTTGATACACGGTGAGCAATTACCACGTAGAAACCTTGGCGCTCCGCCAGCAAAGCTCCCACACAATGGAATAGCACGTTGCAGCGACATGTGCGCTGAGGTGGTCGTTGACGCAGAAGGTCGTGGTCATCTATTTCAGTGTGGGAGACGTGTGCATAGGATCGCACGTCGTAACAAGCGAGATGTTGTTACCACCCAAGCGCTGAGTGTATTCTGCTGGGCCAAATGACAAAAACGCATTTCTTGTGCACGTCGTCGATCTAGGCCTTGCCCAAGTGATGCTGCAACGGACCGCGGGTACTGTTTCAAAAATCTGTGGATGGAATGATGGCGTGGACTCATACGGGACGTCGTTCATGGTCCGTAGGAACGCCATGGCCCCATCGTGCGAGCTACCCCTAGCCCTATACGAAACAGGCACGTGTCTAGGTTTACGGTCAATGTAGCAACGCGATGGTATTGTCGTACATCGCTGCTGGCGACGTTGTGTGCCACTCGGAGCAGGAACTGTTCAAGCGCAAGCACGTCATCATTACTCGCACATTCTAATTGGTCACGTGAGGATACGTCTGTCGCAGCCTCGCGGGCACCGCACAGATCTGACCGAGAGATCTGACCGGAAAAACTCAACTTACTTTGGATGAGCAAAAGGCCAGACCGTTTCTGTATCGTACCTCCCCGTGGTCGAGAGTTTGGTGTTTGTAGCCCCGCCAGAGCAGCTGCTATGTTGTTTATTCATTGGTCGTGGCAATGCGGGTGCGCTCAAGCAGTGCCTACTGTGATCGACGACGTTTCCGTAATACATGAACATGTGCTCCAATGCCCTACTAGTACCAGCAACGTTGTACCGTCGGTCGGGTCAAATCTAGATGCTCTTTGAACTTGCACTTGTCTCTGTCCATTGTGGACGGCGTACAGGCAGTCACGTGATCACTACGTGCGCCACGTCAAGAGATCTCTTGAGGAATGGCAAGGTACCTTCAGACCAGAAACCGTGAGAGCGGAGACGAGGATGACCACGCTGGCGACGCGGCCCATGATCACGCTTCGCGTCATCAAGACTGATTGTAATATCCTCGACTGATGCTTAGTTGTACAAGCTGCAAAAGAGGCTCGGCTTGATGATGCGATCAACCATGCCAGCCCTAGCCCTACGCAAGATCTTGGGAGGAGATGGCGTCGAATGTCGCCAAAAACACGATCGCACACACATATACCGACGTCGGTCCAGACCACGCATTCATGCGTCCAAATGTACTGAGAGACGGGAGTAGTACAATGCAATGTGTTCGAAGGACGTCTACATCGAACGCGATTCACCAAGGAAGTCAAGCCCGAGTACATGATGGAGTCGTACCGACTGGTAGCACGCTCATCTACTCCTTCCGTCGTCGATATAAATTGGCAACACGGTCCTTGGCGTCATGTTCCCCGCCGTCGTGGTTCATGCTACAGCTCATCACACGACGGCGGTCGGACGGTGGGCCATATGAGCACACCCAAGACGCTAGTGACATCCGACTTGAGAGCAACGGTGTGCAATACCTCCATGCACGTTTGCATAATATTGTTCGAGTGAACAATCTTGGCATACCTTGTCCTATTCGCTGCCGTGATGTGCTGTGTCTACATACTGTAAGACGTACTTGAGATAGACAAAGGGCTTTCTATGCACCTACACGGCGGCAAAGATGTCGAGGATGCTTTGCAGCGTCTAGGACGTGATAGTTGGTGTCAAAGCGCGAGTCGGAGACAGCCAAATCTCTTGCCGGATGCGCCGTCGGTTGATATGAGAGCCCAAGGCACCGTCAAACTCATTGGAAAAAAGTGCTTGTCGATTTTGAAGGAGTCACAAGACGCCTCGAAGATGCCAAGGACCGACGCATCAAACGTTGAAAATGGAGCAAATCGTACGGCGCTATGCCTGGCTGTTAACAAAGGCTACAGCTAGCATATAAGTGAGCGCAGGTGACTGCAGAGGGTACCTTCGAGCTTATCGACAGCGTCGGGCGCCACACTTCTGTCCAAGCGCTCGCCGAGAGCCCAGCCAAGCTACGGGACAGTGTCTACTCCCCGACGCTTGAGCAGCATCGACATAGTGCTGTCTTCCTTCATGACTTGTCCACACGTTTCCGCTGTGAAGACAATGTGGCTCGGGTGCCAAAGATGACAGTTACATACTGGCCATCAACATTCTGCGCTGCACGAGTGATGGCACAACCAAGCCTACACAACTATCTTGGAATGCATAAGTCATCGACACGAAGAGCTCTGCTCATTTAATGAAAATGGCCCCTTCAAGAAATGCAACAGGAAAGAACTACGATTCTAACTTTAAAGTACATGGCCAGTCATTCTCGACGTGCATCGCGCCTTGCGACGCCATGGCACGTTTGCCAGAAACAATACGGTCGATCATTTTTCATCTAGAGCTCCTCAAAAAGCTATCAAAGCTCGGGTCCCGCCAGCTCTCCTCGCCATAGCTGACGACCACCGCGCAATGCAAGCGTATTGACCGCGTCGACTAACCCTAGCCCTATAGCCCCTCCTGTTCTCGACGAGGCACCCCTCGCGGTACGGTACTCTTCAACATAGAGACACTAACAGGTAAAAGATACTACTTTTTCTTGGTACCAAATAGATATGGGAGAGCCCAAGGTCAGCAGTGACCACGCAATGCACTCGGCAGCGCTGTACAAGTAGAAAGCTACTTTTGGACGGACTTGTGGTGATGAATCCGTCCTCGAAAGCGGCCCAAACACCTGATTTCGGCTGGTCTACGGCGAAATATGCGGCGTAGTAAGATAAGGGGCGCACGGAGTGCTGGATATCTCGTTGGACACCAAGGACCTACAGTATCTATTACCTTGTGATCATCATTGCATCTTACAGTGCACCACATACTAGTAGCACGATTACCTTGTCGTTGTGGCTCTGGGTGGTATGACACCATGACAAATCCGCGTCCCCACCAACCCGATGTAAAGCTAGGGGTGGTAGCAGCATGATCGTGGTTGCAACATTTCGTCCTCGCACGGTACCCTGCGAGAACGTGTCGCACCTGACGGACGTAATACATTGCGCCTATTTGCGCTGGAGCATTGCTCTACCATTTTCAATGATGTAGCATGATATGCGTCTGTGTAGAGCCGCATTGACGGTGGACACGGGATACTTATGTCGCAGGCTTCCTCATCAACGTTTGCTTCCTCTGACCCTAAAACCAAATATTTCATGAACAACAACAGCACACGCGGTGGGCACTTGACTCTGATGGGTATCGTATTCGGTAAGCAACTCTATATCGAGTACGTGTGGCGCTGTCGGGCCGTAGGCAATGAAAACGAACCAGACAGGAGTCGCAGTGGCCGAGGACCCAGTAGCTGCCAGTGAGTAGCTACGAATGATGAATGACGAGACAAACGCAATGATGGACCTGTCCAGCTTTAGGCAGAAACGAGAGGTTGGCAACGTTGGGCGATCAAACTGGACCTGGAAATTTGACGCTCGGGACGTTGTACAGTGTAAAACGTCCCGAGCAAGACTTTTCATGTCGCATTTGGTGCTGCGAAGGAAAAAACTTGGCGCTATGAACTGCACGACGAGGTTTGAACAATCGCTCTGCAACTAGAAGAGAGATACCTAATGATTGGTGCTCGGACAAGGTCATTTTTTGCCTATTTTGGAGTTCATTTGCTTGTTTGTAGCGATAGATAGCATCATGCTCGATGCCAGGCATCATCACATCATACTTTCGTGTCGTACCCGTAATCTTGCGCCATGAGTACAGGACATTTTATTTGATCCCGACGACGTCTGACCACAGCGGGCGTCTACTGGTGTTTTGAACCCATGCAGACGATGTTGTAAAGCCCTTACCTTGTATCTTGCTTATGTGTGCTGGGAACGAGTGGTTGAGGCTACTGTGAACCGACTTGGGTGTACTGCAGATGGTATGTACTCGGTCTCGAAGCAAAAAATGTTGACGAGATCCAAGCTGCTAGCAAAAGAGGCATTCTTGGAGACCGGCCTAACGTAACCCTAGCCCGCGTCAGGCATGAAAGAGCATGGAAGCCGTCGACGATCAAAGTCTTGTGCGAAGGACAATCAGCTTTTCTTGTGCATGACGAGTACTGTGGATTTAACGTCGATCGTAGAACACTTCTCATAAAGAATCCAACAGTAACCACATTGGTCACCAAAACTGCAAAAGTGTCCAGTAAAATGAGCCTACAGGAGAGGAAGATGATACTCTGGGTGACTCAGGTTAGCAACATCGCGTCCTGGGACACTCATTACGCTATCCTTCATTCGTTTCATTGTCGATCGTAGCAAGCGAAACGATCTGTCCTTTGATCCGCTGTGTCCATTGCTACCCAAACGTTGGCATCGTGCAGCGGTTCAGGGTTTATGGACCAAACATACCTCGACTATCGCTGGCTTGAAAATGCACGTCATCTTCGTATCGAAGTACGTACCGGCACGACTAAATGCCATGCTCGTCGTGGCACATCGAGGTGCATTCGCAAAAAGGGTCTTCGGCAATCTACAATCCGAGCATGAACTATGCAATCCCGACAAATTCAGCCAGCATGGCAGCTTTAACTTGTAGCTATGAAACAAAATGGTAAAGCAGTAGACGAAGCTACCCCAGATACGTAGAGAGCGTCGACATGACCGCTGTAGATGTACTAGTACAACGTGGCGCTGAGTCGACGTGGCGTGCTGCAATACCTTGAGAAAGGTCAAGGATGATTGCAAGTTGCTCACCAGTTTGTCGTTTTTCAAAAGCGTGAGAGGGATGTATTCACGTCAATTTGTATCGACCGCGCCAATCCATCGAGAGATGACAAGAGTCACGACGCAAGCGACGCAAAATCATGGGGTTGCACTCGTCTCAGATCGTCAATACCTGCAGACGCCTATGCACCTTGCGTACACATGATAGTCCATGCATGGTACCATGAGCAGTGCGATCACATGGCGATGGCGCCGATCTGTCAGGCGATTGACGCAACGATGGGCATCGCCTGATATATAGAAGAGAGCTCAACGACTGCCGAGTTGTACTCTTTTGAGAATGCCGTCTGAAAATGACCGGCTTTACTGCACGGCGATGAAGTGAGCTTGTCGAGACGGCGCAAGGTCTAATGGGAGCGCAAGGGACGTGCAAGCCGACATCTTTCTTTGAGGTCGTCTCTGTGTCTGTTTGATCTCAAGGCCACACGTCGAATGAGAAGCATCAAACGTACATGGGATGGTAAGCCAGCCACAATCGTCTAGAATCCAAGAGCATAGCTGTCCAAAAAGCATCTTTTGGTTGCCAGCATACATACGTTGTCATTGGCCCTGCTCTGTTGTCTCTCGTGAGCGCTTGCGCACCTTGGTCGGAGTTGTGAATCTCGGCTATTTTCGTATCAAGTAAGCCATACCAATGCCAACAAGGGGACGAGAGCATTGCCCCACAAGACGACACATTGTCCGCATTATTGTCCGCGATACCATCTTTGGTCGAGTCCGGGCGGCCGTTGGCGCCATAAGACAACTCGTTGTTGAGACTGCAGTTAAATAAAGACCTGCTGGCTAAAAACACATCACTGCCGACGGATGATGGAGTCGCTTGTACTCGGTCGTTCGTAAAACATTCATCGCCTAGGCTAAAGGACCTACCGGTAGCTGCACTGCCCACGCAGGAGTAGTAATACTATACCGAACTGGATACTGTACGATGCGGCAAAGGCTTTGCCGCGTCGTGCAGTATCCAGTTCGGCATCCCATGACTTCAACATGGCACATGCCATGTTGGAGTAAAGATGTGTGATTGGCTCCAATAGCTTTCGCCTGTCAGCGCACTGTCATCTTTGCCGCGTCGTCCCAGCCCATGTCCGATCCGATCGCAGATCTGTACGACGTTGCCCTTGGCCATCTCGCTACGCCTCGCGAGCATGGCTTCACGCACCACACAGATTCCTTCACGCCCCCAGAGCTATCCGTAGACGGCCTCGACGAGGTGCTCACGTGGCCGCTCTCGGACGCCCAAGCGGCCAAGCTCGCGGTGCTCTATGGCCGTGACGCTACGACAACGGTCGTGCCGGGTCGAGCGATCTCAGTCGACTCGAAGCCGGCGAGTATATACACGCCAGTGTCCTTTTACGAAGCCGTCCAAGACAAGCTGCTCCTGTGCGAGTGGAATGGCCGTTTTGAACTCGCGCACCTCGTCCTCCATGCCGCCGGGAGCACGGACACGAGCCTTTTGCAGCCGTCCGACGTCGACGGTCGCGCGTTTGCTCGGCTCATTGTGCTCCTGCCGTCGCACTGTGTCGGCGGCAACATCTCGCTCACGTACCACGACCAGGACGAGGAGTGGTCGGTGGCCACCGCCGCGCGCCCGCCGACCGGCCTGTCCTTTGCCGCCGCCGCCGCCTTCCTCTCAACAGTCGTGTCGTCGGACCCGATCTCGGACGGACGGCGCGTCGCACTCATTTACCATCTCGTCAACGACAAGGCGACGCCGGACTGCAGCTTTGCCTCGGCGCCGCCCAGCCAAGCGTATGCGCTCGGCTTCTTGCGCACCCTTGCCAATGTTCCGTTCTTGGGAGCGGGGCGCGTCCTCTATCGTCTGCAGCACGATGTGGCGTTTGATCCAACTGGATTTAAGGCCCTCTCCAAAGCTGACACTGCTTTTGTGCGCGCGCTCGACGCGTCCGGGTGCTACGACTACGTGCTTGCCGAGGCGAGCTCGCACGCGTACCCGTATGTGTTCTCAGTCATTGCTCCGGACGGTGCCGACATCCCGGCGATGGTCCTCGCAGGCGCGACAGGGTTCGCGCACACGGTGCTCGGCAAGCCCAACCCGCACCCGCAACATCGAAAGCTGTCGATGCTCGCCTTTTGGCCAAGATCGTACCGGCTGCGTCTCCTCGGCATCAAGGCGGCGGTCGCGCACGTCGAAGCCGTCATGCAAGGCGACGCCGAGCCGTCGCTGCTCGGGTATTCCACCAAGATGCAGCTCGTCGAGGCGCTCGTCTACATGGTCGGCGCGCAGACAGATTCCGGGTCCAAGTACCACTGGGACGGTGAACGACGGCCTGTGGCGGAACGAAACCCGATGCTGAGCCATTTTTGGTACGACAACAGTACGGACGCTGAGCCCATGACCGCGCGCCTCCTTCAGATCTTGTTGGATTTAAACGACTTTCGGCTGCTCGACGTGTTTTTAACCCGATTGATGGAAAACGAAGTGCACCCCAAGATGGATCGCATCTGGCTCAAGTTCCATGCGTGCGTTGCACGGTTTGGCTACGACGCCCTCGCGCCCGCCGTGCATCGTCTTCTAAAGCGCTGGGCCACGTCGTCCCGCACCGCCGCCGCGCATGTGCCATTCTGGCTTCTCGCCAGCCTCGCCGGCGTCGCCGCCGACCCCGTCTGCGCCGCACTGGAGCACCCCGAGGCACGCGACCGGATTCAGTGTGCGTACCGCATTCTCTGGGACCACTGGGACGTGCCCTCTCTCTTTCGAGAGCCCGAGACGATTGGACGCTTCGATGTAACGTGCTCGCTCGCCACGGACGCGCGTCTGCACCTCATCAAAAACTGTCTCCTCCTTGAGGACTACTTGACGCGACGTGCACCGTCGCCGCTCGAGACATGCCTGCCAGTGCCTGTGGTCGATGCCATCAACGAGTGCTTGGCACCTGCATCGATCCTCGATAGCATGCCCGACGACTACGCCGCGATGACGTACATTGCTGCCCCCGCGATCGGTTTTGCGCTGCAGCACCACCCGCAGTTGGCCCTCGGCACCTACCGGTGCGTGCGCTGGCGTCCTTTGAGCATCGCCTCACTGTCGTGGACTCTGTGGACGCGATCCTCGGGAATCTTCTTCTGCACGCGATCTACTCGGACGCGGACGACGACGAACTGCTCGCGTACGTCGGCAGCTTGCGCTCGGGCATGGGCTTTCCCACCTGCACGCTCGTTGCGGCCCTCTGTGCGTTTCTCAAGCTCCGGTCGGTTGCGCGGCGCACGCTGGATGTCTTTGCGACCGTCATTTGCCGCGTGACCGACTGCTTGTACACGCCGCGCGGCGATGTGCTCGCGTACCTCTTGCCGCACTACTTCAACCGATCGGACGTTGCGGTGCAGTACCCGACGTCGACTCTCTTTGCCGTGTGCGAGGCGCTTCTCGCGGATGCGCTCGGCTTCTTCGCGACGTATGCGCCGCAGCGGGCGCCATTGCTTGTGCGCCAGGTCCGCTCGATGGCCGAGCTGGCGTCCCGCAGTCGCCATCTCGTGTCGCCGGCGGCCGTGCTCGTGCCGCTGCTCTCGGATTTCGCGCAGCGGTGGCCGACACTGCCCTTGACGGTGCGCGATCAGCTCGCCGACATTGTTCGCCCGCTCGTTCAAGCCACGGCGGCCAAGGCCGGCGCACCGATCCACGGGCTTCTTGGCGCGCGCTGCTTGTGCCCGATGTGCATCGCCGTGCGCGAGTTTCTCCGCACGCCGCAATGGAGACTCGACAAGACCTTGTTTGCGCCGTGCCAAGACGCCGCGCGAGCGATCGCAGACCTTCAGGCCGCAGGCTTTGTCGTCGACGACGACGACGACGTGTCCAAGGTAATGACGACGCGTGACGACGATGACGTGGGCGACACGGACGAGAAAGCGCTGCCTTCGTGGCAGCCGATTCTGCAGGCGCAACTTCACCTCGCGGCGCTCGATGGCCTCGCATAAGTGTACACTTGAATACCCAACAAGAGCTTATTGTGTGCTTGGTCGATGCTACAACCATCACTCTCCCTAGATAGAGTGATGGTCGGCCCACGCCGGCCGGCCGAACGTTCGCCGAAGCTGCAGGATTCGGAACATGGCAGCAAATAGTGTACTTTGTGAAAAATAGTATTCACGGGGCAGGGCATTGCTTCATGTTGTAGTAGGCTACGTTTTCGCTGTACAGCGGTAGTGTTTGCCAGTCCATACACCTTCCATTAATACATACTCCATTGCAGTTTGACTCGTGCGGACGAGTGTCGACGTACACAGTGTACCTTGCACAGGACACGCTACCGCGCGTCAATCACACTATTTAAAAGATAATTGGAAATCGTGTGAAAATGCACTTTCCACAGCAAACGCCATTTTCAAAAACATGGCGTCGTGGCTCGAGACGCTGCGGTCGCTGACGTCGGACGTCGAGCGCGAGCTCTTCTCCGTGCTTCGGCGCTACGGGCGCCCAGAAGACTGCACCCCAGAGCACGTGGTGGCGCCCTGTACGCTTGCGCTGCGTCTGCACCCGAGCGACCCCGAGTTCCCGTTCGCGCTGGCCAACGGCCTCGAGATCTACGTCGCGATTCCGGTGGCGTACCCACGCGAGGCCGCCACGTTCCGAGTCCACTGTGATGTTGCTGGCTTCGACGCGCTATTCTCCGCGCGGATAGCCTCGGCGCTCGATGCGGCCATGGCCGATTGCGTCGGCCACCTCGTCCTCCGCAAGCTCCTCACGTGGCTCGACAACCATTTGAAGGAGCTCATCATGCCACCCAAGCCAGCAGAGGCGACGGGCGACCACGCAGCAGCCTATGGAGATGCGCCCGATGTCACGACGACAGCCACCGAGGGCGGCGACGCTGAGCCGCGTGCAGCCAATGGCAACGACACGGCTGCGAACCAATGCGATGTGACCATCGGAAAGGGCGACGACAATGAAGAAGCCAAGTGCAGCGAATGCGACGGTGAGAGCGAAAGCGACGGTGATGCCAAGGGGGCTGACGACGAGGTCGATGGTACTCTACCCGTGTGCAAGTTTTTCCTCGCCGGCAACTGCCGGCGAGGCGACCACTGCACGTTTACGCACGCAACGTCCGAAAAGAAGAAGAAGAAACGCAAGCGCCGGGGTCCGTCCAAGGCCGTTTGCCGGCAATTTCTCGATGGCAAGTGTCGTCGCGGCGCCAAGTGCCGGTACACGCACCCGCCGCCCGCAACCGCAACGGACGTCGTCATCGAAGACGACGACAACACAACCAGCGCCAAGGAGCAAGCCGAGACGCTAGCTCCATTGCCGGAAGACTGGTCGGTCGACCAGCAGCACGCGCTCGACGCCGCACTCAAGCAATTCCCCGTCGGATGCATGGACACCAAGCCGCGCTGGGAGGCGATCGCGGCGTGTGTGCCGCACAAGTCGCTCAGCGACTGCGTCAAGCGCTTCAAGTACCTCACCGCGCTCGTAAAAGCAAGCACGCGACACGTCGAACCACCGCCTCCAGCGTCCGACAAGGACGACGACATTGACGAGGACGAACATGCAAAGCACGACGAGACGCGCGACGCCCGTATTGTGCCTGCGCACGCCCGCGTCAAGCTGGATTTGGTGCCGGACGTCTCGGCCTGGCACATTGACCTCGGCGCGCTCTTTCTGTACCAGATCGACACGGTGCAGCTGCACGCGGTCTCGGGTCGGTTCCAGTGCCTCAACTGCCCGCTCTCCTTCCTAACGACGCTCTCGCTGGACGCACCGTCGTACAAAAAGTGGTGTCCCCGCTGCAGCCTCCTGCACACCATCGAGTTTCGGCCCATTCTCGTGCACGGTGCCAACTCGCTCGCGGCCAACATGTCGTCGACCAACTGCGCACTCGTCGACGTAAGCACGCCACTTGTGTGCCTAGCGCTGTGCGCTGGCTGCGGTGTCGAAGGTCTCTTGTCGGCTGTGCCCCGGATCCGCGCGGAAGCGTCGTGCCGCGGCTGCCACGCCAAGATGGCGCTCGAGTGCAAGGCAGCGACGATCGTCAAGCCATTAAGCGCGCCCGACGTCCCTGTGTTTGACCAAGGCAAGAAGACCAAGAAGACCAAGGCGCTCAGCGAGAATGTTCTCGTCGTGGGCCAGCCGCTCCCGAACGAAGGCAAGTGCAGTCATTATGGCAAGTCGAAGCGCTGGTTCCGCTTCCAGTGCTGCGGCACGGCGTACGCATGCGACATTTGCCATAGCGAGTCGAGCTGCCACCAAGCGACCGCCGGCGTCTTTGCAAGTCGGTTCATCTGCGGCCTCTGCTCGCGCGAGCACCCGACGTCGCTCAAAGAGTGTCCTTGCGGCAACGCTGTCGGCGCGGCGGCCGTCAAGGTCCACTGGGAAGGCGGGAAAGGCTGTCGGTCCCAGGCCACGATGGCCGCCACGGACAAGCACAAGTTTCGCGGCCTTGCCAAGACGCAGAGCCAGAAATGCAAGCGCGTCGGCCTCGAGGGCAAGCTCCGCCGCGAACGCAAGCTCGAGAAACAACATGCGGCCTAGTCGCATCGGAAGGTCGGGACGTTAACCCTCCCAGACCTAAACGCGAAATGTACTAGTATTATCATGGTATAGACACATATAGTGTTTTGATGCGCGCAAACCTACGACGATCTATCTATGTACTAGTATCTATCTATCTAGTGATGGCGCCCCCGGATGCACCGTGGTTACTATGGCTTCCTTTGTAATTTTCGTTGAAAGGGGATGGATCTGCCTCGATGCTCATACTCCGATCCATGCCCCCGGTGACGCTCTTGCGTTTGAGTACTTGAATGATTCAAGTGATCAACTAAGACTCTAAACGATTTTTTACATGCACAACGGGAAGTCACCCTGCCCTGTGTTAGCAGCATACTAGTTGGTCCACGGCAACGAACTCGATTGGCGCGATTAGGTAGAAGGACATTATGGTCGATGTGGCTCTATCCTCTTATGTACGCGGCGGCTTACTTGAAGGGCCACCAGCTGCTGCTACCGCTGGCGGCCTCAGTCGCAGGGTCGACACTCGGCGGCTCGTCCGAGACAGGGCCGTCATTCCCGACATAGCGCGCTTCAAAGTTGCCAATGCCGGGCACAATGCGGCCTTGGCTGTCGGACGCTGCGTCGTAGGAAGCGGTGACGAGGTTGACGTCGGGGAAGACCTAGAAGAAGCGTGAGCGGCGGCGGCTTTGGGTATGCACCTTGCAGAATTGGTCGGCCGCAGCGGGGCACGTCACGAGCGAGACGACCTGGATGTGGTCGGGCTCGACGCCTTTTTTGAGCAGCAACTAGCAGCGTGGACGCGTTAATAGTACGCAAGCGCTGGAGCACGAGTGTACCTTGATCACGGGCTGCATCTTCTCGAACGAGGCAAAGTCCGGGTGCAGCAGCACGACAAAGCTCTCTTCAATGTCGTCGGGCAGTGACGACGTTGCAACCGCATTGTCCTGGAGCTTGATTGCACCGATCGTAGAGTCAAACGGAAGCGTCGACGCCAACAGATGCTCGAGTCTACCAGAAACGATAAAGGTTAAAGAGGTAGAGCGACATGTCTACCGCTCCGTGCACAGCTTGTCGTCGCAGAGCGCGATACCGCAGACCTTGACGTTGTCTTCGTAGTCGACGCCCTTGGCCTTGTACCCGAGCGGCGTCGTGACAACCGCCTACGTGACCGCGAATGAGGATTCTGCAACACGTCGTCGTCGTCGTACGTCTTCGTCGTTGGGCAGCTGCGTCAACGCGGCCTCGAGCACGTTGCGAATGAGCTTGTCTGCGCAGTGCATAAACTTGGCGCCTGCACTGCCATGAGTACTACATAAGGATGAGCCGGACGGCATCCTACCCGACGAGGCGTAGTCGCGCAGGTGCGTCATGCCCGTCTGGATCGTCTCGCTCTCAAGGTCAAGCACCTCGACGTTCTTGTGCTACGGTAGCGTGAGCATTTGGCTGCCGCTGGCGATCGACGTACGTTGGCCTTCCACAGCTCGAGCTTGACGCCACGCCCGAGGACCTCGCTGCCACAGACGCATTAGCTGCGTCGCCCAAGCACGCGCTTCGTACCCGCTCTCGTAGATGCGCTCCTTCTGGCACGAGGCCACGGAGAAGGCCATCGTCATGGCCGCGACGGACGCTGCTGCGTGACGAACAAGGTGGCGCTGCATGCTTACTCTCTTCAGGTCCGATCGCCTTTTTGCATCCGGGTTCCATCGCCTCGCCCTTAATTTAGGGCTAAGAGGCCTTGTTGGCATTGACTTTAGGAATAATATGATATAGTGTTACATACTAAATACAAGTTTGCTTGCATGCCACTTCCTACAGTATTCAAGAGAAGATCTTTGTAATAGTGTACGGCGCAACTCGTTGACATCTTGATCTTTCCTTGATACAAAGGGAACGCGGGGACTTTAGGACGCTCAACTACGCTAGACTCTCTCTAGCTTACAAATGTGTGGAGAAGCACGGCATGGTACTCAATACGCAAGCCACAAAAACATGCATACCCAGCCGCTCGAGGCATGAAACCGAATGCGCATGGCAAAGCTGATCACAGCGTAACGTACGTTGGCGCGCGTGGCATTGCATGGCTTCTGTTGACAGGATGGACTTGCTTCACGTGCTGTTTATTGAGCGGTATGAGCGGCTACAGTGGACTTGCCTCGCCGAGATCTATATTAGCATTGCGGTCGTCGCTCACGTGTATCGGTTGTTGCGCTGCCCTGAGTTCCCTTTCGCATGAGCAGACATTGGTGAGGTCTCGACTAATGTCAATCAGCAGAAATGGGCACGTATTGTTATAGCTGGCAGCGACGTCGGGCTCTAGCATTGCATTCTAATAGCGTTCGCGGGGCCTTTGGTCCACACACAACGTGTATACCGACCGTTGCACCCTGCGCGTGGGAGGAATCATTCGCCGGAAGCAAAGAAATACCAGTATATTATTTCGAGGATCGAGCCGAACACAAGGGTTTCATGGACGGTTGGCAAGCTCCCCAGACTGTCTGCCGTTGCTTACCAATTTGCAATCAAATGTTATCGACGATGGTGGCGAGATTGCGTGCAGGTATCCAATTGAACGACTCGGGTGCTACCGACAGTACTTGTCGTATTGCTCGCGTTCGAAATCTTCGCTTCGTCCCAGTCTTCGATACCGGTACTGCTGCGATTCCAGATCGTCAGTGCTCACTTGAAGCATGATGATGCGACCCCTGGGCGACGAGAGTATCTACCCAGCACCGTGAGCGTTTGTGTGAATGGTGGCAAAGGCAAAAAAAGTTCGATCGGCGCGAGAAAGCTTGCCACCATCATTCGCTTGAATTCCGTGCAAACGCCGTGTCTACCAAGCGCTGGCCGTGCTGGCGATCCTCGGACCAGCGATCTGTCAAAGCAAATTAGAAAGTCATATGACGGGGACCTCCTAGACTTATACGAGGGAAGTCTCTACGATCTTGTCGCTTTCCCACGGCTCGTTCGTTGTCGTACGCAAAATTTCTCGCCCCAACGTACATACCGACATCCAACGGACATGGGGCAAGCATCATGCAGTACGTAATGCTCGCATGAATGCGGCTCGTCTTGGGGTACCGACACGGTCTGCCAAGGCCGATTCTGCATTCGCTGTGCATTCCAGATGCAGCATCTTCGATGAGCACGGCGATCTCGCCCAATTTTTCGCTCACAAACGTGTGCAAAGGGGCGCATCGTCGCTTGTGATCGCAGCCGCTGATAGGTGCAATGGTTGTTCGTTTCGATTGGCGCGGGGTGCAGCTTAGATTCCGATGTTGCTGGATCCTCAAAAGACTTCGAACTTCGAGCGTCCCGGTACAATGGTGACATCTCGCCACTGAAAAGAGTGGGACGATCCCAGAGACGGTTCTTGCGATGTAGCGGGCCAAGAGCAATGCAGCTCTCAACCCTCGTTGAATTGACATGCGTGAATTGACATGCAACGACAAGCAGCGACGGCTCGGTGATGAGTGCGGCCAGTCATCCAGAGTTCCATGGGCTAATTATAACTATTCACTACCACAAATATTTCTCCTCCGCCGCTTGGCTAGACGTTGTGTGCGGAAGCTGATTACGGAGCACCGAAGCCCTGATATTGGATTTATTGAACGCATTAGTGAACGAACCCAGCTGCTGCCAAGGGTCGTTGCATACAAAAACAAGTCCTTTTCGTGCAGGATCGCGGACGTGGTTTAATTAAAATAATAATATATTCTTCGTGTCACAGTCCGTGATCACATGCCAAGAACCCTGTCGTTTTCATTTTTGCTTTATTTTATTTTATGAACCATCGCAAATCGATTTCCATATTTCCCACGTTCTTCCCAACGACCCTATCATTTCTTGCTAGTTTCTGCATCCCACCCGCAGAGGGCCGACCCATTTCCAATCCCTACCCTCTCAGCAACCTGCTCTCGGCCATCATGGCACTGAACCGAGTGCTCGACCACCAACCAAATAGCCACCTGCGATCAGTCGCTCGAAATGATGATAGTGATTGCAACCTTGGCGCCACTGGCCAAGGTGCGCAACGTTGAAAAAACCAGTCGCGTTGATGCGCTTACTTGCGGGCAATTTGTTGGCACAGATTAGGTCCAGTCCTGCCGTGATAGGGCAAGGAGTTGCTTTTGGGCCTTGGTGAGTGTTGCCGTCCTTTTGTTCGTTGTAGCCACAAGGTCTCGAAGCGCGCTTAGAACCAGCTCACAACCACTGCACGGTCGTACAAAGACGCCAAACGTCGCAACTTGATACTTAAACGCGCGCACGTCCTGCAGTAGCCACAACGAAAGCGGACCAAGGCTCATGGCAACCCCGCGCAGAAGTCGGTCCCAATCCAAATCCTTCCGCGCTTGGACATCTCTTGAGAAACACGTGGCGCTAAAAATATCTAACGCATCGTACCGTAATAAATATAAAAAGAATAAAATACACACGCCGTGGCGCACGTCTGGCACTGTCATTTTGGGATTTCCAGCGCGTCGCAACAAGAGCATGGGCACGCCAAAGCGCAAGCGCGACGAACAGGTGCCGCGCCGCTTCTCGACGTTTGTCGAGGCGGCGACGCTCTACCATACCATGACGTCGGCGTCGTTTACGACATTTCCAAAGTTTTATACGATTCCCAACGAGCACCCGTGGCCGGGGCACCTCCGGGGCACAAAGCTCAACACGGCTCAAGTGCGCACCCACTACAAGAACGGAACGCTGCACCCCGAGACGATTGCGGCGCTCACCGCGATCAACTTTGTCTTTGACGTCAACGAGCTCAAGTGGGAGCTCAAGCTCATCGCCCTCCAGACGTACAAGGGTCTCCACGGTGACCTTTGCATTCCGCAGGACTTTCGCGTCCCATTCAACGACGCGGCGTGGCCGCGCGACCTCTGGGGCATGCGCCTCGGCCTCGCCGTGCGCAGCATCCGCCAAAAGACCGACGTGCAGTCGCCGCGCTATGCACAGCTCTCGGCCATGGGCTTTGTCTGGAACGTGCTCGAGCTCAGCTGGGACACGAAGCTCCTCGCACTGCGCACGTACAAGGCACTCCGCGGTGACCTCCTCGTCGCGTACAGCTTCAAGGTGCCGTCGGACTCGCATCACTGGCCGCCCGAGACGTGGAATCTCAAGCTCGGGCACGCCGTGCACAACATTCGTCAAAACGCCGACGAGATGGCGCCGGAGCGCAAGGCGCAGCTCGTGGAGCTCGGGTTTGTGTGGGACTACCTCGAGCTCAGCTGGGAGGCCAAGGTGACCGCGCTCCGTGCGTACAAGACCGCGCACGGCCACCTCAATGTTCCGTACGGTTATATCGTGCCCAAGCATGGCGTGGAGTGGCCCAAGGACGCGGGTGGCATGAAGCTCGGCCACGCCGTGCACAACATCCGCCAAAACACCAAGGAGCTCTCGCAGGCTCGAAAAGACCAGCTCAACGCGATCGGGTTTGTGTGGCACTCGGTGACGCTAACTTGGGACATGAAGCTCCTCGCGCTCCAGGTGTACTTTCGCCGGTTTGGCAATCTGCACGTGCCAGAGACGTTCCGCGTTCCCAAGGACGATGCCGAGTGGCCCAAGAAAATGTGGCACATGCGCTTGGCGGACGTCATCGCAGACCTCCAGCGCAACCGGTCGGTCTTGACGCCCAAGCAGCTTGACGCGCTCGATACACTCGACTTTGCGTGGCCGACGACCGACGACGATGCGGATGACGACGAGATGGACGGCGCGGCGAGCAGCGAAGGCGACGAGTGCTACGAGTCGCTTTCTATTTGCGACGGGTTTCCGCTTGTGAAGCGCCTCCGCCACCTCCACGTCGGCGCGGCGTAGACCTTGTCGACTTATTTAATGACAACACATCGGTATTTTGCATAGTTTCCTACTCGACTCATACAGTGGGCGCTTGTGTCGAGAGAACACTTCAGCAGAGCTGTGCAGTTGGCCCGTACTATAGACTGCAGCTTCGTGTAGTCGTCCACTCGTAGCGACAGAGCCCGTTGACGTTGACCAAATTACTTCGGTGCGGACAAAGCTCACGTGTGGCAATTGAGTGTTTGGACCTAGTATCAGGCGAGCCAACGGAAGTAGGTTCTCATCGTGTTGTCTTGTCGACCATGTAGCGCTGTAGCTACGACAACACATCGTCTAGTTTGTGTTGCTAAGAGCGCGAGTCCGTTGTAGCGAGCACATTTTATACACCGTCAATGTTTCAAGCTCCAAGCTACACGAATTGCAAACCGAAGCATGACATCGAACCGCTCTTCTGCCGCGTCGTATTTCTCCACGACACCCATTATTGAGAAGCTCAATTCCATCGCTGGACTCGAAATTCGAACGTTCGTTGGATAGTAATCATGTTAGGTCGCGCCGACACAATCCCATGCACTCGACGTCCGACCAACTACATATCTAGAGTACTCCATGCGACAGACAGTCACTCTCAAACAACAATTCCTCGGTCATGCTACTACGTACAGCGTCCTGCGCCAATGCCCGAGGTTGCTATCGCTCATAAATGCGACAGAGCTCGCAAGTGTCGTCTTTGTTGCCTCTGTGTTGGCGGTCGTCAAGTACCGGGAGGCACCTGAACGTCACCTCGTATCTTTTCCGCATCGTGAAAGACGCTCTGCTGCGTTGGATAGGGTGCGTACCTTGGTCAGGACTTTGCCGTTCCATTGTGGACAAAACACGTGGTCGAGCAAAATGAGCCCTCACTCAACGATGTCGATCTGCCTACGCCGGGATCAAAGATGTAGTTCATTGTAGAATGTTTCCACCTGCCCAAGTCGCTGCACTGCAGAGCCTGACTGCAAAGGATCTCACGGGCAAAGCGAGAGATGTTTGATGTGAAAAGACATATATTGAAGGAAGATATCGAAACCACTAGGAGACCACGTAGATGCGCAGATTTTGCAAGCAAGCCTAAAAGAGGTACGCGGCAACGCCCACAAGGACAGTGACGCTGGCCGACAAGGCCAAGGCCCCATTTGCAGCGCTGGTTTGCTGGTTGGCAGCGTACGCCGGTTGCGTCGAGGCTGGCGCAGTCGTTGGCACGGAGCTTGCCGGTGTTGGGACCGGGTTTGGCTGGGGTGTCGACGACGCAGGGGTTGGTAAGGGGTTGGGCTGGTTGCAACTGCTGGTGCGGCGGTGGCACTGGGCGATACCAGGCCCCATCCATTCGCACGTGTAGCCGGCAGGGCACGCCTTGGTGTCCATGGTGCCATCGCGTGCGACGCACGCTTTGCCATGGGCGGCCGAGTCAGTAGGCACGCACTGCGAGTACTGCGGCGAGAGAGTTTGGCACGTTGAGCCTGCGGGGCACGTCGTCGGGCCACCGTAGCCGATCCCGCCACACTGCGAAAACCAGTCGCGGCATCCATCGCACACATACTTCCACTGGCAAGTGCCGCCAGACGGCGTCGGCGTTCCCGGGCTCACGGTCGTGACCGACGGCGGATAGGTAAACGGCGGAATCGGTGTCAAAATCGGGTTCGGCGTGGGGTACCCCGGCGTTGACGGCGACGGCGTCGTTGTAGCTGGCGTAGGCCCCGGAGCAGGGGGCGACGGACCCGGTGCGGTAGGCTTCGGCGACGGGTTACTGGGCGTCGGACCCGGCACCGTTGGGCTTGGCGTCGGGTGAGGCTGCGTAGGAGCCGGATACGTCGGAATTGGGGGCATCGGCGAGCAAGGCGTTTGCGTGGGCGATACTGTCGGGACGGGTTGAGTTGGGGTCGGAGGCGTTGGCGACCATGTTGTTTGCGTCGGTGTCGGGGTCGGAGGCTTGGTCACCGGCATCGTCGTCGTCGGCGTCGGCGTCTGGCTAGGCGCGGGGGTCGTCGGGGACGGAGTTGGGGGAGTTTTCGTTGTCGTTGGCGTCGGCGACGGTGTTTGCGTTGGCACGGGCTGGGTGGGGGCCGGAGGCGTTGGCGTGGGCGACCGTGTTGATTGCGTCGGTGTCGGTGTCGGGGGCTTGGTCACTGGCATCGTCGTCGTTGGCGTCGGCGTCTGGCTCGGTGCGGGAGTAGTCGGGTACGGAGCTGGAGGTGTTTGCGTTCGCGTCGGCGTCGGCGACGGTGTCTGGGTCGGAGTCCACGAGGGCGTTGAAGTTGGCGTCGGAGGGCTTGGTGTTTGCGTCGGACGTGGTGTCGAAGTTGGCACGGGCGGCGAAGGTGGTTGTGTCGTCGTTGTCCACGGCGTCGTTGTCGGGCACGGTGTCTTTGTTGGGCACGGAGTCTTCGTCGGGCATGGCTTGCTGGTCGAAGGGGCCGTGGGACACGGAGGAAACGACGTCGTCGGACACGGCGCAGTGGTGCGCGAAGGGCAAGGCGTGCGAGTCGGCTCATTGGGGCACGGTGCACGCGTCCACGGTGCCGGTGGCTGCGTCGGCTCGTCCGGACAAGGCGCACGCGTCCATGGCGTCGGCGGTCGGGTCGGTCCATCCGGGCACGGCACGGGGTTGCGTCCCCCGTTGTTCCAGCCGTTCTCGGGACCGGCTGCCGGAATGCTGCGGACCCGGTTGTTGTCTCCCCAACCTTGACCGTTGTTGTTGTTGTTCACCGCTGGGTTTTGAGCTTGAAAGCCCCACTGGTTGGTGTTCCAGTTGTCAACGTTGCCACCGTTGGCAGCGTTTGCGTCGAGTGCAGCGACATCGCCCGGGTACAACGTCAGCGCAATACCAAGCAAAAGCGCAGTCGGGGCCAGCATGATGCGGGAAGGGTCGCAACGAAGAAAGTTGGAAAATGACCACCAAGGAGACTCTAGACGTGCTAGCATTCTACAGCTAGTCTGCTGTATACCGCCTTCGACGACAAGATCCAGTACACATCAGGCAGACTCGATCTTCTCGACACTAAAGACTCTGTGCATGTGATCACCAGCTGGACGTCGACTCGTGGAACGACGTTCGTCCGTCTTTCCTGTCGCCACGTGTTTGTCCGAGTGCAGGTTATCCTCGTTCTTTATTTAATATCTAGATAATTGTATGTAATAAAATAAACACCCTCGTAATGCTGTCAGGAAGTCGAACGACCTAGAAGTGAAGCGGTGAGCAGTGGCGACCTCCCTGGAGACGGAAAACAAAATATACGTTTCAGTACTGAGCGTATTGTTGTTGTAGAAGTCGTCAAAAGAGTCACCAACATGGCCCACTGAGAATATGGCTATCCCGGTATACTAGCACTGGTTTGCTGGGCTCTATTGCTGAGGAGCACAATATCCCAACTTGAGATAGCATCCTCTTCACCCATATATGTTCCTCACCGGCTGTGTACCGGGTAGTGTCCATACTGATGGTCCATTTGTTCAATGTGACGCTCTGCAATCAATACATGCAGACCACATGCAGACCAGTTCCTCAAGCCAGGCAACATCCGGATGGAACAAAGAACCCGACCCAGTTGGTTACCACGAGTCGGACGGGAGATCAATTCGTGCGGGGTCGTGCTGGCTTGCCGACTTTTCGACATGAAACTGCGTTGCTGCAGTAATAAGCGCACACACCTTTGCCGCACCAACAATGGAACGGTGCAATGGTTTTGTTTTACGATACGAATCGAGGAGTGTTGACATACAAGTAGCGAGCGCACAAGCTACTGCGCGGGCGACGGGGCCGACGTCGACATCACGGGTGTGTCCGAGGCCTCTCCGTTCGCGTTCGGGTTGGCAGCCTGGAAGTTGGACCAGCGGCTCGGGTCATAAATCGTGGGGTCGATATCACCATCGGCAGCACCCACCGGATTCGGCGACTCGGAGCCATCACCGTCGGCGTTGGGGTTGGCAGCATGGAAGTTGGACCACTGGCTCGGGTCAAAAATCCAGGGGTCGACATCGTTCGCGTTGTTAGCGACGCTGGTCTCGGCGTGCGCATCTTGAGGGGCGAGCGCTACGGCAATGGCGAGAAACAGAGCAATCGGGGCCATCATGAGTCTAGGACTTCTTTGAAGTTGGTAAAATCGTAAATGATCGCAGACTGCGCGCGGGATCGGATGCATCCTTTCACGTCATAAGCGCGGACAGTGCAGCTGCTTTCTGTCCATGGTCGAAAACTTACCTGCACTGCATCTAGTCGCCCAAGCCTCTGGTTATTCTCTGGCATTTCTGGTCCCAGGTGTTACCAGGCATTGGTCCCAAGCATATATAGAGTCCGATGCTGCAGGGTTGCTAGCAGAAGTCGAAGCAACGAGAGGCAGTGCAGGCCGAGATCTTGGCTGTCAATGAATTTGAACCCTCGCTACGCCAGCCGCTCTCCTCCAGACTTCCTTGTAGTCTCCATAAAGATGCGGCACATGCAGAGAGGCAGAGTCCATGCATTAATCGGGGTCCCAGGACGACGCAGCTACGATGCCGTGTGTATTCTCGAAAAGAGGGGATAATCCTGCACGGCTGCCGGTAGGGCTTTTGGTTCGCCTTTTGGTCCCACATAACTACGGCTGCGCGGAACACGATAGGCATGTACTAGTAGTCCAAGTAACACTTAATATCGAATTTGCGGGACCCTTCTTCGTGCCTGAATGCATGTGCAGGTAATAAACGAGCTAAAGCAAAAACGACCACGTCTTCGTAACGTTGTGCGCACGATGTGAACGTAGCAGCAGCCTAGATGCTTAGTACGCCAAGGTATCTCGAGAGCGGGAATGCAAGCGCAATGTGTCCCATGTTCTTGGCTCTGGTCGCACGACAATCTCTTTGAAGAAATCATACCATACGGGTAGCATGGTCATTTCTCTGTGCGTTTCGACGCCGAAAAACCGTTTCGATGAGCATCGACGCACCATATTTGCGGCAGACGCTGCTCGAGGCCGCGAGCGAAGGCGACATTGACACAATCCTCGAAACCCTGGAGAACGGCACGTCTATTGACGGACTCGTCAACAGCGTCGAGGCCGGGTCCGGCTTTACTGCACTCCATCACGCGTGTGTGCGGGGAGATGTCGAATTGGCGTGCTTCCTACTTCGACACGGGTCGGTCACGGATGTCTGCGATAAGGTACCCATGTTCCAACGACGCCCTACTTCGCCAGCGGCCCGTGTGCTGCGTAGTTTCGCAAGACTCCGCTGCATTACGCATGCCATTTTGGTCATACCCAGGTACACGGAGACCAACTAAGTCAACGGCCATTATGTGTGGTATGAAGGTGGTCTTTGTGCTATTGGACTCGGGTCGCGCCGACGTTCAGAAGCTCTACGACACTAACGTACGTATGGTTTGCGTCAAATACACATGTGTCATTCTACAAGGAAAGGAAGCCAAGCTGACGTGCTTACAAACGGCTGCCGCGCGGGGCCACACAACGATTCTCCACCTCCTGCTTGTCCACGGCGACATCATTGACGGACGCAATGAGGTTGACGACACTGTTATTTCTCGCTCGTTCAGTTTATCGGCATTTAGGCAGGAGAGACGGCGCTGCATCTCGCCGCGGCAGAGAATCACATCGACACTGTCGTGGTTTTGCTGCGGTGCGGTGCCGACATTGCCGCATGCACACCACGAGGAGACTCGCCGCTGCACTACGCTTGCCGCGCCGGTGCTCTTACCACGGCATCGCTGTTTGTGAGACTCGGCGTCTCGATCCATCAGACAAACGTGCGTTTTCGTTTCCAGCCAACCGACTTAAATTATCTTGCGTAGACGGACGACCCGCCACAAAGCTGCTTGGAAATGGCTCGCGTTTTTGGACACTCGGTGCTTGCCAACGCCATCATCGTGGTACAAATTAATATATATATATATAAAATATTTCCACCGCGCTCTGTGGTGACACCGTGCCATTGTAGGAAGCTCAGCAGCGCCGAGATCTTATCATGGGCGAGGATGCTGTTCGTGTCCGCGCAGCCACTGCCGCCCTCGATATTGCTCGGGTATGTATGTTGTGCGAGGTCACGCCAAAATTTCTTGATACGACGGGACTTTCTGCGGACTCATGATAGGCGGCATGCCTCAAAACACAAGCTCGTGTGAAAGAGCAAAAAGCAGCTTCTGCTTGGACTCAAAAAGTCGACGAACGGCGGGTATATAGCTCACACCTCTACACAGCTCTGACTGCATCACATATGAACACACAGGCCATCGGTATCTACCTTCAAGATGTCCGGACCGGCAAGCCGATCCACGAAGCTGTCCGAGCCTTTGACGCATTTCCGCATCTGCAAACAATGTAGCAATGTCAGCAATTCACTTCATAAGTCGAAATTGACAAACTATTGGTCAACTGGCGGTGCATTTGCGAGCAGCAAATCGTGGTTGGCGACTGTGTAGTTGGCAACTTGCTCGGCCGTCAAATCGACGCGGACGCCGTACTGCACAAGGACAAAACGAGTGAAGTCGTCCGCGGATGTGGCTACGAGACGTCCATTGCTCGAGACTATAAGCGGTTTGAGCCCTGGGAGCGAGTACCTAAGATAATTGTCATGCTTTTCAAAAAAGAGATGTAAAAGACCCAAATGTTTGCACGATTTCGTCCAGACGGCCTCTCCACGCAGCGGGAAGGCAAAATTCTTTCTCGATCGTGAAATCGGGCATACTCATGGCGAGGATGTCTACATATCAGAATGCAATGAAGCTCACATGCAAACGCGTCAGGTGGTAGGTACCCAGTAGACGCTCACAAACCGTGACTTCTTGCGAGTCGACGCGGCCCACGATCGAGTAGTGCACCATGTATTCCCTCAAATTCGCGCAAATAACGCGTTGATAGAAAAATAAACTGATCTAATTATACCCAGCAGTTGCGAAATTTCCCATTCCATGCCGACATCCGTGCGCACGATCCGCAATGCTGCGACCTTTGCTGCAGTTGTGTACCTCCTCGTGCAGCTCACTTTGTCACCGCCACACGGCAGCAACGACACAGTGAACCTAAACTTGACGCCGCAAGATGCCACCTTTGTACAACAGTGTACGCGGTACTGCGACCATCACCAAGTGCGCCGAGCGAGGTGCGACGACGATCCAATGCTACTCTGCGAGAACCTTTGCGTGGATTTGCAAGCCAACATGTCGTACCACTCCTCCATGTGGGGCTCATCAACGCTTTTGGCAGCCTGTGACGCAGCATGCACGGCGTCGTCTCCACAATTTTGTCAAGGACAAGTCTCGCACATTGCACTTTGCGAGGCGGCGGCCATCGCGCGAGCTCAACACGACAAACAAGATCTTGGCGACGTCTATGTAGCGCTGCAAGCAAGCCCATCGATCGTCTCCGTGCTTCTCTTGATTGTGATTTCGACGACCGACATTCTCGTTGCGATTGCTGCGTATAAGGCCTCACTGTTTGAGACGAGCGACGCCACGTTTGAGCCCGACTCGCTCGATGCAACGGCGTCTCTTGTGCGCAAAGCGTTGCGCGCTGCCGAGTCGCCAGAGCACGTACTCATCGTATCCAAAACAGCATTCGAGGTTCGTAGCCTTCTCTTCGACAACTCGTGCGACCAAGCGCTTGGCGTCATTTTGGCGCTGCAATTTCTCAGCTGCGTGATTCATGTATGCGCAAAGAAGTCTCTGGTGCAGTTCCCAACTATTACGATTGACTTTGGGCAACCTGCACACGATCAAAAATTTGCTGGCACGGCCGATCAGAAAAACCAAGGCCCACCCCATGCATTAGACACCGCCACAACCGCGACAACAGGGCAGAGCCGTACGGATTCCAACTACGACAAAAGAATTCCACCGATAGAAACAACAAATCAAGCGCCCCATCAGCCTACAACGCAGTCTCATTGCGAAGTCCAGTCGCAAACTACGTTGCCACCGACTCAAGTGTCGCCAGTACCTCCAACAGCCAAGCCTCTCAGTCGTCTAGCGAGATTTGGAATCGGCAAGTAAGATCGCATAATACATCAGGTTGTACCAACTACACCCACTCACACACACAACACTACAACTTCATCATTAATGCCAAGCCCGACTCCCAAGCCGCCATGGCTGGTTCGACTCCACAAGGTTACCAAGCCGTTGACCCAGACGATGCCTGCCGAAGCCCGCCGCCGTCGTGCCCCGCCAAGGACGCGCTTGCAGCTACCGACCCGTCACCTGGGTGTCGATATAGACTTCTACGAGGCGCCTGCTGCCGTAGCCGCCACAGCCGAGCTCCGGCTACCCGACGCCATCTTACCAAAGTACGCCGACTTCGTCTACCAAGTAATGCTCCGCGCGGTCAAGTTCCGCGCACATTTGCACTGGCTCGACAGGGCCGACCAAGCGTGTCTCTTCTGCCCCGAGCACGAGACGTACCGCCACTTCCTCGTAGACTGCGACTTCATCAAGGACGTGTGGAGCACGCTTCACGCCGTCACGGTCCCTTGGGGCGTGACCTTGCCAACTACGCTCTCCGGCAACCTCTACTCGACGCCCAAGACGACGTCCAACATGCACCAAGCCGCGTTCCGCTACCTCTGGCCCGTGCTCCGCGCCTGCGTCTGGCTCAACGTCTGGCGAGTCCGGAACGATCGCGTCTTTCGCGCCGACCTACCGCTGCCAAGTCCATGGAAAATTGCCGTCAAGGCGGCACGCGTCGCTCAACTGCACTTGCACCACAGCCTCGTCCAAGAGCCCGAGCAGCCTGCTCTTCGTCGGCTTCTCCGGCTCCTCGCCCAACACGAGTGGCCGCGCCGTCACCTCGTCCGGCGGATCGCGCCAGCCTAAATCAAGTCCCTCAACCGAGTACACAAAACAAAGAAATGTCCGACAATTTTATTTAGCATAGTTTTATCTATTGTAATAGAAAACACACTTCAATAACATCTTCATCATCAATGTGTCT